CCGTCGGACAGGAAATCTTTAACATCATCCATGACTTTTGTGTGAATGGATCCGTTTTGTAACTGAAGGATGTACAGGATGAGTTGTCCATACTTTTCAGAGAATTTCTTAAGGTCTTTAGAGTTCATTTTTTCCTCCGTTTGAACTCGAGCGTCTTCTCGTGATAGACCTTCCTTTATGTATTTATTATATTTCAGGTCCCATAGTTTTTCGTTGTCTATTTTGGCCCTTTCCATGAGAAAGTTAAAGACTTTGTGTTCGTCATCATTTTCATTCTCTGGTTCGACAGTTGAGGCATTTGATCCATCCACCTCCATGGGGGCAATATCATCTTTCCCTTGTCCGTTTTCTGGACACCATCTTTTCACATGTCTTTGAAGGTCGTGGACGTTTTCAAAGACCAGACCACAATCGTCACAGAAAGGCATATCTTCTGTAGGTGTGACGTGTTGAAAATCCGACCCGATGGATTGGAAGGTTGAAGGAACAGACACGTGGTACGTCCGATCGGTAGGAATATCTGTTGAAGAATGATGGAAATTCTCTGCTTCGTGCTGTTTAATAGAATTCAAGACGTCAGTGCGCATACGTAGATGTTCGGGAGTAGTGGGCTTCAAATCCACTAACAGGTATCCATAAGGTTTGGAAGTGGCGTCTTTAAAATGTCTCAGCAGGTGTTGAGGATTTTCGGGATACATCTGACGAGCCAAGGTCATAACTTGTTGTCTGTCCACAGGATTGTTAAACAGGACCAGGTAATGGCAATTTCGTCTCTGGGTGGGATCTTTGTTGTAGTATAGGTTTTGATTGATGGCTATGACGGACATATTTCTGTGATGACTGCCCTCCGTAAACAATTCGTTGATTCTGGAATCTTTGGATGCCGTAGACATCAGATCATCCAAAATAACGAGATTCCTCGTTCTGGGATGTATAAAGGAATCTTGATCCAAATCCAAAGGTATTCCTTGAATAAATTCGACCTTGGGATAAACGGTACTCTGAATGACATCATACAGGGGTTGCCAACGTTTGTAGAGCCATATGAGTCTCTCGGGAGGAGGCCATATTATTTTCAGGCAGTGTTGCAAGAGCATTTTACAGAAATACGTCTTGCCACAACACGTGGGGCCCGAAATATTCGCAGTAAAGGGATGCCTGCATGAAGACAAAGTCCTGGTGCCGTTGCTGTAAAGGAAGAGTCGCTGATGGAGGCGGCGGTGGCTTGAGTTGCGGCGGCGGCGGCGGGGTGATCATCTGCAGCGGCGGCGGTGGCTTGAATGGCGGCGGCGGCGGCGGTGTGATCACCTGCAGTGGCGACGATGGTGGTGATGGCGGCATTTCCATCATTCCGTGTACACTTCGCTGATGCCGCTTTAAGACATCCTTTCGGGAAAACCAGCCTCGGCAATCGTCACACTGGACTTTATGCATGTTGACTCTTCCGCAGACACTCTTAAAATGTGACCAATTTATTCTTGAATCACTTTTTATAGCTTTAGGCCGAGAAACTGGTCATGACTGCGGGTCGAAATATCAGAGTCAGGCTAATCTCGCCATTCAAGAAGGTGGCATGCTCAAAATCTTTATCTCTTATTTCCAGGCGTATCTTTTTCAACTCTTGGATTCGCATCAGAACTGGGTACGGTCTCGTGAAGATTTGATTCTTGTTGGATTCCAAAACAACACGCCTCAGCAATGGTCTGTATTGTTCACCCACCACAGAAGTGTCGCATGCGTCACAGTAGATGAAAAGCTCCTTCTTTGTGGTCTTGACAGGGGTTGTGATATAAAATTCACTTAATTCTAGTGTCCACTGTTCCTTAAAAACCAACGTTTTTGGCAACGTGACGGTGAAATCAAAAGGTTTGTTGCTTGGGAACAGGTGTTTGCCCTCCGAAGATCGAAGGACTAGCGTCATTGCCATTCTGTTTGATAATGAAGAGATTCACGATTGTTCAGAGCATTTATACTATTAGGAAAGTCTTAAATACTGCACCTAATGGCCCGGAAAAACCCGGAATCGTCCATAAGATAGGTCAAACGCTACCTTGAGGTTATTTTTGGAATTTGCACCTGATGACCCCAGGAACACCCCCGAGTTAAACTCCACTTGTCAAGACTTTTCATTTGAGATATCACATTAAACACTTCAGGTAACTGTTTTGCACTCATGACCCCGGAACACCCCCGGGCTGAACTCTTCTCGTCGAGACCTTCCATTTGATGGGTCACATGATACCCTTTAGGTATTTTTTTATTTTGAACTTAATGACCCCTGACCACCCCCGGGATGACCTCTCCTCTTCCAGACCTTCCATTTGATAGGTCACACGATACCTTTTGAGTAACTTTTCGATTTTGCACTTGATGACCCCGGACCACCCCCGGGCTGAGCTCTACTCGTCGAGACCTTCTATTTGATATGTCGCATGATACCCTTTAGTAACCTTTTGATTTTGCACTTGATGACCCGGAACACCCCCGGGCTGACCTCTTCTCGTGGAGATCTTCCGTTTGATATGTCACACGCTACCTTTTAAGTAAATTTTTGATTTGGCACTAAATGACCCCGGACCACCCCCGGGATGACCTCTCCTCGTCCAGACCTTTCCTTTGATAGGTCACACAATACCCTTTAGGACACCTCTTTGTTGGACCCTTGACCCCCATAAGCATAGGTGATTTAAAAAAAATCCCGCCTATAGGGTCCCGTGACCAAAATTCAAATGCTGCCTTCTGATTGGTCGAAAGTTTGATGACGTCATTGGCGCGAAATTCAAATCGTGATCTATATACGCGCACTCCACTACTTCTGCATTCTGAAAGACAGGTCTGTTATAGTTGGTTTTTATATTGTATATTGCCATTGAATCATATAATGCAAGATTTCAACTATTATTTGATAGATTTAATCTATCTCTGTTTCTTCAGTTTATTTCACTCTACACATTATCTCGTGAACACAACTGATTGGACTTTCTTTCTGTCGTGTCATTTAACAGGTATTAATAGATTCAAAATTAGGGATTGCACAAAATAACGCATATATTACTTTTTATTCTATATACATGCACTTTCTCTTGCTCATTTCTTATATCGATAATAAGGCCAAAAAAAATTAATCAATTGTTTCTCAGGCCAAAAAAATCAAAATTCAATGCGGCAGGCAGGCTTTTTTTTTTTTTGAAGCAGGATTTAGTCTACACCTTTTTTCAAAGTCATTTGTTCAATAAAATGATATCTACTAATTCTTAAGTTTTGTTCTCTGAAATTAGTTATAATATGTATTCAACCTTAAATAATGTTAATCCAAACATTTATTCAAAAGATAACTTATAAAATACTGTAGATTTACAAGAAAGATATTGTTATTCTAATAAAAACGTCGAACTTAGCATTTATGAAAAGGGCAATAACTCAATTTTCTTTTTCAACTTGGAAAAAATAGAAAATTGGGTTATTTCCCTTTCCAATATGTCAATAAAATTCATCAATGCGGCCGTTTTTGAACTGATGCGGCGGTGCCTGAGAAACATTTGATTAATTTTTTGGGGCCTAACTAGGGTTCCTTTTTGTTCTTCACTTTTTAAATTTCCTTCCTGCTTCCCAGTCTTGCTTCCCTCGTCAAGGTTTTTTTTTAAAATATTTATTTCCTTGTCTGGTGTTGTAGAAAAACTCAAACCATCTCCATAATTTTTTTTTAATTAAAGATAAATAAATAATAAATTTTTGACAATTTTTATTTTTTATCAAATAAACAAACACGTATAAAGTTTATCAAGCTTTTACAAATCATTACAGAATAACAAAAAAAAATTATATAAATAACAAAGTATTGGACATTTTGGCAAAAACAAATAATTAGGTGGTTCCTACAATGTTAGACTGAAGCAATCCATCGTATAACGGGAGCTTTGTCTTGATTTCTGCTGTACACGGTGCCTATATATATGAAAGTATAAATGTGGATAAAATAAAGTCAAACAAATCAAAATAAAGGAAGAAGGCAGAAATTGAATACTTAACTTTAGAATGTTATTTACTTTCAATTACTCCTCTGTTAGTACATGTAATAATGCATGTATGTGTTTATATATATATATATGAGGGAAATCATATCATTATTTCACATATAAGCATCACAATTGTATTGCAAGTTTTACGTCTGATTTATATTAGTTAAAAATAAACATACATACGCAAGTTTCTTTAACTTAAAACCCCAAATGTATGTTGAAAATTTTGCACACAGTTTTAGCAATGCATTATCCTGTTTTCACAGATATTTTTTCTAAAACTAATGAATTTCAAAAACTCATGATAGCAGTATAGAAGATAAAAGGTAGGGGTGAAATTGATAACTAAATATTAACATTGCATTTTCATGCAAAACCCTCATCCACTGAACATTTCATCCCTAATTATATTTCATAGTTTAGTTTCTCACTGATATGTTAAAAAAATGTGTATTTGATCACTAGTGGCTTCGTACCTAAAGAGTATAAACCTTGAATTCACAGAATTCTTATAGGAGCAAAAATATGTTGGAAAAAAGTACTATTATTAATGCAATTACTGAAAATAAAACACTGTCATGTTTTTTCTTTCCAACTGATAAGTATATGCATGAAAATGATCAAAAACTTTATACATGTACATCCTTTTATACAGACATGAAAAAAAATCATGCTGATTACTTAAAATCCTATACAAATTAGTACTTTTTCTGGTATTGCATAAGTTTAAAAAATGTAATAAGTTGAATTCTATACAATTTAAATGTGCAAAATATCATAAAAAAGCAGATGAAAACTTATGTTTTAAAATGAATAGTTTTTGATACAGTTTGAGTTCTGAAGTTATATGACCCAAAGGCTAAAAGAAAGCAGCTCCATACACAACCATAGTCACATTTATAGTTTAAAATTTTAATACATTTTTATATTTTGTGGTTAAAGATGTGAATTTGATACTGCACAGTTTAAAATTTTAATACATTTTTATAGGACATAAATCTGTAGGTCTCTTCTTAAGAAAGCTATGGAAATTAATCTCCATGAAAATAAGTGATTTCATAGTACTTGTAACAAGATATACAGCTATTTTGGAGAGAGGCAGTACTTTTTATATGACCTGTAATAGGATACATGCAGGACTTTGCTATGGACATGCCTGTGTGTCACTGTCTACCACTGTATCAAACCCAGCATCAAATCAGCATCAAATCAATCATACATAACTGCTAACACCACTGGTGTTTGAAGCATTAGCTATAACTATAGTTACTGCAGTCAACTGAATACATGTAAATATCTTAGATTATAAACTATACTGATTTTAAATGTTTCAGATTAGGTTACATAGGAAATGATGCAAGACATGTGGAGATGCAAACCTAATGATATAAGGATGATCTGACTAATACTAACAATTCACCATCTCTGTTACGCAGCAACAAGTCTGCAACATAAAACACTACGTTACTTCTCCCTTCCAGCAAAATCTCTCTACATTAAGATGTAGAATAAAAACTTTCAAATCACATATTAAAATGTCACATTCTCACGGTTTGTTTTAAAATATAAATAGATCAGGTCTGTGTTCATCACCATGAGGAATAATCCAAGTCATCATTTCCGAACACGAAGAAATATCCGAGGATCGTGAGAAACACGACGACATTCCCCGCCAGGACCAAGCCACAGGCTCCCCACTGGATCTACAAAATATCAACGATAAAACTGAATAATAACATCAACGACAAACTCAATGATATACTGAATAGTTACATCAGCGAAAAAATCTCAACAATATACTGAATAGTTACATTGATAAAAACTCGACAATATATTGAATAGTTACATCAATGACAAACTCAACAATATACTGAATAGTGACATCAACGATATACTGAATAGTTACATCCAAGATAAACTGAATAGTTACATCAACGATATACTGAATGATTACATCAACGATATACTGAATTATTACAACAACATTATTCTGAGTAGTTTTATCAATGACATACTGAATGGTTACATCAACAATAAACTGAATAACTACATCAACAATAAACTGAATAGTTATATCAACAATATACTGAATAACTACATCAACAATAAACTGAATAGTTATATCAATGATGTACTGAATAGCTTAATCAAGTGAAAACAATTAGAAATGCTAAGTTTTGTCCATTATACGAGGGTTGATCCAAAAGTAATGTCACAGTGTCCATATCTTTTATATTTGGCGTAATATTATCAAATACAATAGAGCAAAAGATGCACAAATACAAATCTAATTAACATTGAAATTCTCATTTAATAATGTTTATTTGAATTTATTTTATAGATATTTAAAATATAGAGCATAGGGAGTGTCGCCGCATCACAACTGAACGTCAAGTTTTAAAGTGTATTTTTTGTTAGAATGAAAAATACAAACACATTAAAAAGATTTTTTAAAAAGCACCTAATCTCTTATTTTTTAAAAGACACAATTCAAGTGAATTTCTTGTCTTTAATAGAAAATTAAATGACGGTATTGGTATTTGTGATCATAAACATTTTATTTTACTTTATTGAAGTGAACAAAGGGATTGTCGAAATAGGAAAAAAAAAAAAAACAGCTCGACGAAGTGTAATACATTTTTGCTTCAAAATATGGGAATCTTCTCTAGCGACAGTTGTGTTAATAAACAAGACTCAAAGAATAAAGAATATAAATGAGAGACTTCGTAATCGATGATTTCAGCAATTTTGGTCGGATGGTGGGTCATTGAATGATCAGCAGAGGACAAAAAGCCCGAAAGATAGGAGAAACATTCAATGGTGTCTGACGCTGTCAAAAAACAAAGAGGGATAGAGTGACATGTGAATTTTTAAGTTTGTACTCTGCTACTGTTCAAAATATTTTGACAGAGGGCTTAATAATGAAAAGATTGAGTCTATAATGGTACCAGGAATTCTTAAAGAAAGTGAAATTGGTGAAAGTCTTTGCAAATCACAAATATTTTGTAATGAAATAAAGGGAAAACGCTTAAAAGAATGACGGTGCGTATCCGTCATATGATGTTATATTTAGGTGCGGCGACTACCATAAACGCACATTGTTTAAAATCTGATATTTTGGAAAGTATACATCATATTCCTTTCATTTTTTTTCAGATCTGATTTGAAATTAAGTAAGCTTTCATCATGTATAATTTTGTTGTTTTACGTCAATTTATAGCAATTTTATCGAAGTTGTGACATTACTTTTGGATCAACCCTCGTATAACCTTAACCTTAACCCCAGACACAACCAGAACATTCAACCTACGATTCAACACTGTCATTGACTTTAATGTTCATCTATACAAACAGTCAACACTGATATTGAATTTTATCTTATATTCATATCTTTACGACTTTAGAAACAATAAACATGAATTTTAGTCTAATAACTTAACAAAGTTGAATCAAGAAATGCTTAAAAATATAAGTGCCAAGTGTTTTCTTCAATTCTTTGATGGATTTTTAAATACTTTAATCATCATTTACATGCAGTATTGGTGTATTCTACTTACCACCGAGGTTCTAGCCAATACGATGGGTAAACCAATCGCTGAAATGACGACTCCCACAGTCAGAAATATACACAGCTCAATAAGGGCACTGCTGGAGGAGTCGAGACTGCCGGACAGACGGCGAGAGATGACGGTGGGTACAGGCGACAGGAAGTAGAAAAACAGCACAAACATCGGCCACCAGTTCCTAACGTAGACAATACAGAAGTCTGTTATATGTTGATCTGTCACCCTATCATTGTAGTCATATTATTTGTAAACTTGATCAAATTTTAACTGTTTATATTTGTTATGCTCACTGCCAAAAACTGATGATTATTGAAAACTTGATACATTTGCTCTTGAATGCAGTTTTTGCAATCCTGTTTTACCATGATTTGAATTAATGAAATGCAGTTGAGCAGAACTGAATGTCCCCGACTGCAGTTAGAAGATTATCAAATTTTCAAAGTACATGTAACTTACTGAAACAGAGCACATCCTAGTACAAGAAACGTGATCCCAATGGCAGCAGAGAAAGCCAAGGCTATTAATCTACAAATAAAATCATTGATCAATCATACACATGTAAGAAATAGAACGAAATGGCTTTCTTCAAGTTGTACTCTTTGTTCTACATTTACTATGTTTACCAAACAGATTGCATTACATGAGTATTAAAGTTGTGTCATATTCATTTTCAGGTAATTAAAAGTTTCATAAAAATAACTCATTTATTATGGTTAATCTATATATATATTGTACGTATGACATCAACATTTAGAATAATCCGCTGAATCTGTTGCATGTATAAAATAAAATGGTGTCTGAATAAAATTGTCTACAGTTGACAAAAACTTTACATTCAGATTAGTCTTGTAATAGTGTGTTTCATCTGTGTTTATATACTTACGCTGTAGAACATTTCAATCAAAGGGCCAGGAGGAACAGATCATCAAATGAAAAATAAGAATAATTTGCATTAGAATTTTGATGCTTAATTATATGGAGCAAGAACATGTATAATATTTTGTTTTAAATCACAAGCCGTGAATTTCTATCATTAAGCCATTATAGCCAGTGCAGCAAGTTCTAACAACGACGCCTGGGCGAAGAGAAAATTTTGACTTGCACATTGTTCCAATAAAATTTTTTCCCACAATAATTTTGGACCCTCAATGCATAGCTTCTTTAAGCTATATCCTGGCGAGACTGACCAAAAAAAAAAACAACAAAGATACGCCATACATCGCCTTAATGGATATATCGCAGATAAATAATATATAAAATGTACCGTAAATATAATGTTCTTCTTTAAAATCAGCACTCTTCAAGTCTTGGTTTGATTTAAAATTTTACTTACTACTATGACATAAAACTAAAGCGTCTATATGCACCAAATGTCAAGTGTGGTTTGACGAGCCCTATCTACATTAATCTAAAACTGAATAAGTATCTGCACTCGCCTTAACAGTTGCACCGTAAACATATTATGATTGGTCGGTATGATATATTTACCCCTCTATAAGGAGGTAATGTAGCAGATTTAAAAATTAATCATATTTATGTCTATATATTATTTTGTATAAACTGTTTAATTAATTAAAGTTAACTGCAGTATTTTATTAGTTGGCCTAAAATGTAATCCAGTAACCTATTTATATCTTTTACTCCTCAGCTATGACCTAGATTTTGTATTTGTATTTCAAGTGAGGAGTTATTTTGTAAAGAGGAGTTAAATTATTGCGTCATGGGAGGAGTGAGTTTAATCAGTATATAAGGGGAAGAATTGTAGAAACGCAGTAGTAGTTAGGAAAGTTTTGACCAAGTCACTCGTTTGTTTTGTTTATTTGCTATGCTTTGGATTTATCGCCATTAATAAATTGTGAACTTTACGCTGTGTTTTCATTTAAGAGAAAAGGAATATAGTACAGTTTTGTGGATGGAATATTAATTATTTAGGATTTACATGCTCGGAAAATAAACGCTACAGTAAATATATCACTCTGATTAATCATCTAAATGACTTATATGATAGAAAATTAATTTACAGTGTACAGAGTTATATTCCTTGAAACTGGAACATCATTCGCATTGACAGGAATTAGATGTAAACACTGCATAAGCAAGGGCTAATGATCATTGGACTTAGTAAATCCAGGAAATACAGCACACACAAAAATCTGCAGATTGACTGACCGGAACTGTCTTGTTTTACAAACTTGACCAAGCCCATGTAACATCATCTCAATCTTATTGAAGTTCAAGCGAACACTTTGCAGCGAAGCAAAATTTATACTTCATATAAAATCTTAAAAAAATAATGAAAATGCAAATAAAATTCTCTAAGAATCCAAAATATTTTGGAAGCTTACATCTTATTCCGGCCATTTTTGTTGACGAATAGTCATGAATATATGATTAAAAGATAAATCTAGAGTGTTTCCGAGATGTTAAACTGGTTCTCCACAAAAAGGAGAACCAAGTTAAATGGCGATTTCGTGCCAAGTTTATTCTATTTTAGGTTGAAGGCATACTTAACATATGAGGGTTTACTTAGATAGCAAATCGGACGGAAATCTTTATGTTAAATATCAAATAAAATATATTTTGCAAATTCTGTGGCAAATACAGGATTTTTCCAGACACCCCCTCCCCCCGGTAAAACTTCTGCATAAATATTTAAATGTATGACAGGGATATTATTTTAATTAGATAAATATAAATTATTTGTCATTGATCCCTTTGAAAATCAATAGCCTGGCCTTGCATTCCTTGCGGTCCTCAATTATATAGATTTTCTAATATGTAGCAGTAGACATAATGTTCAGAATGAGGATTTTGCAAAAATTAACAACTGGATGAACGGTAATAAACTTAAAATGAATGCGTCAAAAACAGAATTTATTCTATAAAGGAGTAAAAAAAAAAAAAAAAAAAAAAAACTAGCAAAATGTGCTACAATGTGATCAACATTAATGAAAATGTGTTATGAAATCAAATCCGTCAAATGTATACCGTCGAGTTTGAATGCACTGTTAGCATGGTTAGCCGATGAAAATCTAAATTTAAAAGAAAAAAAAACTCTATAGTTTATGCATATAAGTGTGGTACGTCTATTTTTGTAAACATGGTTTTTCTTGCCTGAAAGTGTGAAGAATTTTATTTTAATAACTTTTAAGTGTATTTAAAGAAGATTCAAAAAATTTTAAAATTTATTTTACATTTAACAATCCGGAAGACAAGCCCCTACACATGGAATAAAATGGACAATTATAAGCATCAAAAGACTGAAATAAAAAAGAATTAGCAAATAAATAGATTGATAACTACCGGTTTAAAAATCAATTTTAAAAAATAATTGAGAAGTTGTGCAATTTCCAAAGAATTTGATTTTGCGGTCGTAATTTTTGCTTAAAATTGACATAGAATTACATTTTTTGACTTCATTCTGTTTCTTTCTTTATTTGATTGATGAAAAAATCAAGATATGTATCATAATATTTATTTTGCGAAATGAGGTATTGTTACACGTCAGGTTTATTTATATTCCGGAAATGTAAGGTTTACATTCGAGATTTTTCTTTTAGAATATAAACAGCCATTTTGTGCTCACGAACGTTGCGTCGTGAAGTTGTGTTTGAGAAAGACTATCATATATCCTAAATTAAAGACACAATGGCAGAAGGAACAAAGTAAGAAATTCATTTATGTGATATTGTTTAGACCTGTTCATATTCAATGAATATTTCCTTAGAACTCCATGTTATTTTTGTAAGAAATCATTACGCCGGTAGTCTCGTATTTATTCAAAATCAGCAAGTCATCATTTCAAGAATATGCTATTTTCAGTTCACTTAAATGAAAATTTTTCCAAGAAATCTGTTTTATGGATTAAATTCATTTCATTTGATTAAGTACAAAAGGATTACTTTTTATCAATATATTTTTTTCTTCATCGGACAAAGGACATGTCTGAATTTGCAGACGACTTCAATCAGTAAGCATGTAATCAATTTAAGTTTCCCACTATAAGACTAGGCTTAAATGCTAATTAATATGAAATATGTTTTTCAAAAAATCACGAAAAAACAACTGAGGTTTATTTTAAGTGTTGAAAATTCGAACAAATTGGGGGAAATCCTAGATCCTCTTTGTGTGTTTACATAATGACGTCATGTTCTAAATACAGACGTGTCACAGTCAGATCAAAAATGCTGTTTCACTTGAAATTGTGTAACAATTTTAGTTTCACTTTCATTTTATAAACCCAGATTTGAGTTTAACAAATAAAATCATTTAAATTTACACAAGACCTTTGCTTATAATATGTTGAACCAAAGGAATTTGCAATTTGAAGAAAAGTTTATAGCCAAATTGGACAATACATTGCTAAAGTTGTTTTGTAATATTTTATAACACAAATAAGCTTTCATTTTTTATCTCGAGTCTTCTGAAGACTATTTATAAGTGTTATTTCCTCTCACTTGCAGGAGAAATGTTCAGATTTTTAAAATATTTAATAAGCAGGAAATAAAATGTATTGAATTTTCTGACATTCAAAATCTGCCAGGGGATCCAGGTTTATCAACTGGATGAGAAAAGAGATGGAGTCATGGGTTACCCAGTACAAGAACAAAAGTAGCAAAATGATATAAAAATGTTTTTCTGCCTTTTGTAACCATGGTAACATCTTTTTTATTGGTATCTGGTGTATTAATGGATAATACAACAGCAACAACCTTTAGTGCTGCAATATGGCGACCTTTTTTTTTTCTTGGGTGTATTGGACTGATAATCCTTTGCTTGTAAAGATGAAGTATCTGAAGAAAAAAAAAACACTTGCAAGTAATATGAAGTGTGATAAAAAATTAGGAGACATTGCAAACAGTTCCTGAGTTTTGGTTTATTTGTGTTGTAAAATGCAATTATCAAATTGTTTTAAATGTTTGCTCTAGATAGCAATAATTTGTGGGACTAAATTAAGTATGAAAATGTTTTGCCAGATGGGTCAGGTCTATGGAGTACATGTATTACAGGTCATTTGTACATGTATAATTATATCGAAGCATATATATATCCATTCACTCCTTTTTTTATATAGGTCAGAGACCAGAAGAGCTTATGCGATAAAATGCAAACAATTTTTCAAAATGCTACTCCTCCTACAGTTTTGATCTGATTTGGCATATAAGTAGACTACACTAAGATACATAATTCTGTGTATCGGATTTTGATTTCGACGAACGGTGTTGGCGTTGTTACTAAAAATAGAAATTTCTGTGAAATTCTTTCAAAATGCTACTCCTCCTACAGTTTTGGTCTGATTTCAATATAACTCGGCACACAAATAGACTACACTAAGATACATAATTCTGTGTATCGGTTTTTGATTTCCACGAACAGTGTTGGCGTTGTTACTAAAAATAGAAATTTCTGTGAAATTCTTTCAAAATGCTACTCCTCCTACAGTTTTGGTCTGATTTCAATATAACTTGGCACACAAATAGACTAAAAATAGAAATTTCTGTGAAATTCTTTCAAAATGCTTCTCCTCCTACAGTTTTGGTCTGATTTCAATATAACTTGGCACACAAGTAGACTACACTAAGATACATAATTTTGTGTATCGGTTTTTGATTTCGACGAACGGTGTTGGCGTTGTTACTAAAAATAGAAATTTCTATGAAATTCTTTCAAAATGCTACTCCTCCTACAGTTTTGATCTGATTTCAATATAACTTGGCACACAAGTAGACTACACTAAGATACATAATTCCGGTTTTTGATTTTGACGAATGGTGTAGGCGTCGTTAGAAATTTCTGTGAAATTATGCTACTCCTCCTATAGTTTTGATCTGATTTCAATATAACTTGGCACACAAGTAGACTACACTAAGGTACATAATTCTTTATATCGGTTTTTGACTTCAATGAACATTATTACCTTGGTTAATAAAGATAGCAATTTCTGTTACTCTCAAAATGCTACTTCAAATACAGTTTTAGTATGATTATAATATAATGTGGCATGCAAGTAGACTACACTAAGAACATAAAGAAACTTATTCAAGGATCATTATTCTCTTTTTTGCTAGTGTAAAGTTTCAATTCCCAACTGCTTAAGTACTTTCCTCTTCCTTTGCTATAAGTACAAACCAGTAGAGCTTCAGTCTCGACAGAGACTTCTGGTTTATATAGGCCTTAGAAAAAACATATCCCCATCATACTTCTTGCTTGCTAACTAATCCAATAAATTGAATGACTTTTCAGTGATGATTTAGCGACAGCTATCCTAAAGAAGAAAGATCGCCCCAACAGATTACTGGTTGAGGAAGCCATCAATGAGGACAACTCGGTCGTTTCACTCTCTCAGGTATGAAATAAAATCTAGATTGGCATTGAAATATATGTCATAATTTTTTCTTTTCTTTAATTATCTCAAATTCTTGGATGACTTGACGTTTTTTTCACAGTTCCATAGAGTTCGAGATAACAAGATTTGACTATATTTATAGACTGCTCTCGGTTATCTAAATTTTTTTTTAAAAAATTGTCTCGATAACTTACAGATATCGGGATATGAAGTATGACTTGAATGTTTTTATTTTTAGGCTAAGATGGATGAGCTACAGTTGTTTCGTGGAGACACAGTTTTGTTGAAGGGGAAGCGGAGAAAGGACACAGTTTGTATAGTCCTGTCTGACGACACAGTCAGTGACGACAAAATCCGAATTAACAGATGTGTCCGTAACAATCTCCGCGTCCGTCTGGGAGACGTGGTCAGGTAATGTAAAAAACCAAGTCACACAAACAAATCAGAAGTGTAAGAACTTCTGAACTTGAAAACCAAAAATTTATTTTTTTAGTTAAAAAAAGATAGATAACTGATAATATACGAGGGGTTATCAAAAAGTTCGTGGACTGAGGCTGTAAAATTAGTACTATGTAGTCTGTGCTTTCAAAATTTATATGTAACTTAAAACAACAAAAAATAAAGAAATGCTGAAATTTTTAGCCTGATACGTTCATTATTTGCCAAATTATTACAATTTGAAAACGACATTATATGATCACCCGGCGCTGTCGTCGTTTATTTTCATGACGTCCGATAACGTCATTGTTTTTTCAATATCCGCTTCTTATACCTCATACACTTTTTTGATGAGATTCCCTGGAGCTGAGTATGGACTTAAACCCGCCTTGTTTATATGACTTTACAATGTCATGAACAGTGGCCTTTAATGAATAGAATATTACAAATGGATTAATACATTGGGAGAGATCCGCACTTGATTGTACAAGCATATTTTGCTTTTAGGAGTTCAATATCTACAACATAATGATCAACGTCATTTTTTGACGTGATTAATTTTTCACACCTTGATTGCAAATCCACATTAACTGTGTATCCCTTTTCTCTCTGAATCTATTTTGACATTAAAAGACAAGTACTCTGGATGCGTATTATTTCTCTGTGGCCAGCTTCAACATATTTTTGGTCTATACCAGTTTTTTCAGGGGCAAAACTTTATAGAATGTTGGAAACGGAAACCCCTTCCCCCTTTTGACGTCATTTTCAAGGCCTCATTTGTTAGGACATTCCGTGAAAATATACGATAAAATTTCATAGAACTTCCAGAATGAAGTGAAAATATAATATTTTATGGAACAATTGTGTCCCGACACATACCTGAATTAACGGAATTTTTAGATGTCAAATGATCATATCAAAAGAGTTTTTCTCAGTTACACATAGGTTGCAAAACGTCGTGTTCGAGGTTGCGCCGCCTGGACACACCATTGCTCACAAAAGCATTACTAATTTATTAAAAAATAAAATTTATGATTTATGGTTTATTCTTTACATAGAAAAGATTATGCTAACTAGATATTTTAAAATTCATTGATTTGCCTAAAGCGGTTTTAATTTTATGACGCTAGTCCACGAACTTTTTGATAACCCCTCGTATATACAGTAAAATTTGTCTAATCCGGACTCTGTGTACTCCGGATTTTTGTCCATTCCGTCTATAAATTTTAGTCCCATGCACTTCTTTAACAAATTCATTAGAAAAAATTCTGTGTAGTCCGGATACTGTCTATTCTGTATTCCGAACGGCCATACTGGACAACGGTAATTATTTCCTCTATTCCGGCCACACCTGAGTCACTTCAAAGCAATTAACACCTTTCGTGGTGGATTTGATAATTGTGTTTACATTAGCAGTGCCATGAAACGAACTTAATGAAACGCGGCGGTGACACAGCCCAATTAAAAAAAAAAAACCAGTGTATTATTGAATTACAAAAAATAATTTTGTTTTTACTCGATCCTTTTACCACATTATAACAAAAAAAATATGTTCGCGATTTTCAGATCAATTTATAAATCGGGATCGAAAATCGGACGCATTTCAAAATGGCGCCATAACACTTTGGGGGAAGACGTAATGTTTTACATAAAAATTAAAAGTTCAATCTAATAAATAGCACATCGTAAATAATTGTGCATTACTGTTTTTACATTGAATGAGCTCTTTGACAAGCGAAACATGATTCGCTAGATATATAGTAGGCCTATGTTATGCGTGCCTGTAGATTTTGATTTAGGTTACCTTTCACCCGACTTTCAAACTTCGTGAAAAACAAGAAAATACAGTAAGTCATGAGAGACTATTTTATAATTTCTATACTCCAAAATATTGATTGATTTCATCATTTAATTATATTTTATATTATGCATAAAAATGAACTTGTACATAAACAACGAAATTTTCAAAAATAATATTTTCCTACATTTTTCCTGCACTCCGGATTCTGTCTAAACCGGCCAAATTTTATGGAACCGGAGGTAGCCGGTTTGGACAAATTATACTGTATATCAAACTATTTAGACTGAATGTTTTACTGTCTATTCTGTGTTTACTGGATTTTATATTATTTCTATGTTTACAGTAATCAGGCCTGCTCTGGATTTTATTATTTCTATGTGTTTACAGTATTCAGGCCTGTCCTGATGTGAAGTACGGGAAAAGGATCCATGTCCTGCCAATTGATGACACAGTGGAGGGACTCACAGGGTAAGAAAAGGAGGGGATAGAATAAAAAAATATAGTTAGTGGATTTGTAATTTTGGCTGTCTTGAGTACTATCATAAATCTGTGTACATACACATTCAAGACTCATAAAAATGTGTCCTAAATATCAGAGATTTCACTGTTCCAGCAATGATGGTCCGGTTAGGTAATGTATAAGATGGGGCTGTCATTGATGAGTTGAATAAAATATTGATTTAATATGCTCTGATATGATATTGATACATTTTTTGGGAAATGATATGTTACTTACCTTTGTATTAATCAAACAGCTACATATACACTACATTTATGAGGCAACATTTCTCCATCCCAAAGCAGCAAATCGGACAAGAATTTTACACTAAATTCCCATGGAACTGTTCTTTTTTCAGAACTACATTCAATCAAGCTCATATGCTAGTTCTAAGCTTTTCAAATCAAAATCAATGTGCAAGATTAAGGACAGATGATACAAACATTTTTTTTTCTTTAGAAGAGACTTGATATGTCACAGGTTTAGAAAAGTGAATAATTCTTTGTTTTTTCTCCTTGGTCTTGGAAAATGAAATAGTCTTGGAAAATATTAGTTAGTACTTCAATAAATTAATAAATGTGGACAAATCAACTTAGTAAATTGAATGAAAACAAATTTCAGAATGTGTTGGCTTATTGCTGTAAAAGTGTAATATAAATTTGAAAAAAAAATATGCAAAGCCAGGTGAATTTTATGAAGAAAAGCAAAATTGAAAAGTCAGCCAATGTGATTTTTCACCATTGTGAGTTTCCTTATAAATTTTACCTGGTTTGGATTTTTTAAAAGTTTATATATTACATGATTACATACATTTAAAAAAAAACTAGTCTTAAATGTTAAGTATGCAATTTCTTTGAATTGATTGGTTTGTGCATGAAGAATATATATGCCCTCATCTTTCAAAGTTTTCCCAGAATATGTATGCAATTCAAGAAATTACAAATTTTTGAAAAAAAGTTGACAGAAATGAAAAATCAAATGTTAGATGATTAAAAGCTAAAAAAATAATTGTCTAATGAAGTAAGCTCATTTTGACATCCCTAGTAAAAGGGGCATTCTGAAGACATTTTTTTGTTCTCTCTGCTTTTTGTGCATACATTTCCTTATCATGCATAACATTAGCATGTTAGTAAAAATAAATATATATCATCCAAAGAAGTAATTATTGATTTATTATAACCATCTTTCATGCTTTAACATGTTATTGTCATTGTACATGTATTGCTGAAGTGCTGAGGCCCCTTAATTCAATTTTTCAGGATTTTGTTTTTATTTATCTTTGAATTCTCAAGTTTTGAATTTCTTTTTTTTTTGGCCAAAATAATGTTTTGGCTGAATATAAAAAATCTTCTACTGTTCAATTGTTTTTCTGTATTAAAAAAAATCACACGAGTTATAGTCCATAACATTTTATGAACAGATAATAAAAACCAAATAAATACACAATATATGAAGCAGTCAAAACATATAGTAAAAGCTGCCCTAAGCCAGAATTATGTCTCCTCTCAAGTTTTCCCCCCAACTCAAAACACACCTTTTGTGCATTATTCCAGCCTGCTACATTATCAGCATAAAGTTATCATTAAGCACATAGCTAATGCTTTTATATACATACATGTATTGGCAAACCTTTGTTCCGTATAAGTTGTATTCATTTGTATGATATTTGTACATGTGATATTTGGATAATCAAGAGCAGAATTCAGGCATGCCATTGTGCATAGATCTTCTTGTATGTTTAAAATACTTCATTTCCTTTACATAAATAATACATAAATTTTGTATTTTCATGCTTATTTTTGCCATGATGATTGTTGTTATCTAATTTGTTTTGAGCTCTTCTATTAAGATATCAGAGGAGCTTATGGGGTATAAAGGAGTCCATCTTAAATCTGTCAACAATTTTTCAAAAATAGAACTCCTCCTACAGAAGTAGGTTTCAAAATGTAGACTACACTATGAAATGTAATTTTTTATTTCAATGAACCATTTTATCTTGGTTACAAAAGTAGAAATTTCTATGAAAAATATTTCAGAACACTTTTCCTCTTACAATTTTGGTCTGATTTCAACAAAGTACACAAGTAGACTACACTAAGATCAGTTTCTGATTTTGATGAACGGTGTTGCCATGGTTGATAAAATAGAAATTTCTGTAAAATTCTTGCAATAGACTAGTCCACCTGCAGTTTTAGTTTGATTGAAATTTATCTGACACACAAAAAGAAACTAAATCAAGGATCATGATTCTGTTGATTGCTGTTGCATAGTTTCAAGTCCAACTGACCAAGTGCTCTTGATTTGGTTCAAGTACAAACCAGTAGAGCATCACTCTCATCAGAGACTTCTCTTTTTTTCAGCAATTTATTTGAGGTGTACTTGAAGCCCTACTTTCTGGAAGCCTATAGACCAATCAGAAAAGGCGACATATTCTTGGTCCGAGGGGGAATGAGAGGAGTGGAGTTCAAGGTCATTGAGACCGACCCTAATCCCTACTGTATCGTGGCACCAGACACCGTCATACACTGTGAAGGGGAACCAGTCAAAAGAGAGGTCCGTTTATTAGAACTTCTTTATTGTTTTGAGTCTGTGTTTTGACTGATATTAAGAGGTACTAAAATGTACAAGGTCTTAGGGTTTAGGAAAGTTATAAGGCCTAAAAAAAAAATATGTTTGTTTCCTGTAACCCGACTGACCCATTCAAATTATTCCCGGGTGGATTTTTTTTTCCTGACAAATGGCAAAACTTCGTTTGATCAATCAGCTGATTCCATTTATTAAATTTTAAAAAATAGCTTGTAGCTTAATTTGAGACATAAAATATGTCAACTTAGTGTACATTTACCTTAAATATAAAGAGTAATCATTATTGTAACAACAGTTTCCCCCTACAACTTTCTGAAGTTTGTTTTCTGCCGCTTGGCAGCCATTTTGGATGCCATATTGGGTGTCCACTGTAAATATAACACCTGGTATTTTCGGTCCGGGGATGTTTGACCATTCATAAGCAAAAAAAAAAAAAAAAAAAAAAAAAAAAAAAAATTTCCGACCTACCGACCCTTGATTTTTTGGGAGTGTTACAGGAAACAAACTTTTTTTTTTTTTAAGCCTAAATGAAGGAAAACATATAGAAATAGCTATCTCCAATTTTAATTTTACAAAATAAAATTTTATGTACCAAACATGAAGAAAATAGATACATACGGAATCATCAGAATAAGTTAAAAGAAATGTGAAATCTTTCTAAAGACAAACACTTAATTGTAGAGTTTGTTCACAAAACATGGAAGCCGGTAATACGATTATTGTTGATTGTATCCTTGACTGACCGTCTAGTGTGTGTTACATAAGGCAATCTGAGAATTGTTAGAGTTTTTTGAGCATACATATATTTAATGTGTTTGATATGATGATTGTTTATTTTATCCCTGGGTTGTGACTGAGCGTTTTTCGTCTGTTGATACAGGAGGAAGAGGAAGCTCTGAATGAGGTCGGATACGATGACATCGGAGGCTGCCGTAAACAACTGGCTCAAATCAAAGAAATGGTGGAACTACCCCTCAGGCATCCACAGCTCTTCAAGGCCATCGGGGTCAAGGTCTGTCAACCGTATATCAGAAGTATAATTGTCATACTTAGAACTTATCTTTGAATGAAAATTTATGCAGTGACTTTGTAATTTGATTGATGGCCCTGTTAACCTCTGATGAATTGAAAGGGTCTTACATGTATATCGAATAAAAGTAGAAAACTGTTTTAGTAAACGATATACTGTATTTATAGAGAATGTTGAACAATATTGTTTGACCATTTATTGTGTTAAATCTAACAGCCTCCACGTGGTATTTTGCTTTACGGACCCCCGGGTACAGGGAAGACTTTGATTGCCCGAGCTGTAGCCAATGAAACAGGAGCATTTTTCTTTCTTATCAATGGTAAAAATTTCTAAAATAAATTACTTCAGTAAAATGAAATATTTCAGAAAGATCCCTACTACTAAAAAAACCTTTTTTTCGACCACTTTACCTTCAATAGAAAAAATATAAATTTGCATGAATATTATCTGAAAGGTGGCTATGAAAGACACACAGTTAAAAATAGGTGGTCATTTTTCTTCGTTTTATTTTGTTCAGTTATATTATCCTGTATGTCATTACTGTCTCTCTGATAACTTTTTACTGGAATAATCTTCAGGTATCTAAATTTTTTTAAGGTCCTGAGATTATGAGTAAGTTGGCAGGAGAATCTGAGAGTAATTTGAGGAAGGCATTTGAAGAAGCTGAGAAGAATTCTCCCGCCATCATTTTCATTGATGAATTGGATGCTATAGCCCCCAAACGTGAAAAGGTAAGGACATTACACTGACTCATTGGAGTAACATGCATGGATCAATAAGAATATCTTGAGCTGAGGAAATGGTACTCCAGTGTTGCAATAATTTTAATGTTAAGCTTTGTGAAGATATGAAGTACCCAATAATATTTCTTGTACTGATATTTTAATGCAATAAACCTTGTAGACACATGGAGAGGTGGAGAGAAGAATTGTATCACAGCTGTTAACATTGATGGATGGGCTTAAACAGAGAGCACATGTCATCGTCATGGCCGCCACAAACAGACCCAACAGCGTGGATGGAGCGCTTAGACGATTTGGTAAGGTGTCTGTAACTAAAAGCAATCTTTCATCAAAGTCATCGATCAATTACACTGAAATTCTGCACCAGCAATAGATATGAAATAGTTGATTAAAAATGATGAATTCTGACTTCTTATGAATTAAATTGCTTGAAATTTTCAGTACATACATGTTTGTTTACTTCTTTATAACAAAGTTTTTTGAAATGACTTTACTAGCACCAGTGCTAAAAGATCATGTTGTAATTCTGTCTCATTAAAGTAAAAATTAGTGTAATCTTATGTTTGCAGGTCGATTTGATAGAGAAGTTGACATTGGAATTCCTGATGCCACTGGGCGTTTGGAAATCTTGAGAATTCACACAAAGAACATGAAGCTTGCAGAAGATGTAGATTTGGAACAGGTTGCCCAGGAAACACATGGTCACGTGGGAGCTGATTTGGCCGCGCTGTGTTCTGAGGCTGCCCTACAACAGATCCGAGAGAAGATGGACCTGATTGACTTGGAGGATGAACACATTGACGCTGAAGTCCTGGACAGTCTGGCCGTCACCATGGAGGACTTCAGGGTAAGAGGTCTAAATGACAGGGGTGAAGTTACTGATCTCACACTTTCATATTAAGTTTTATATTAAGATTAAACTTCTACTTATAACAGTTAACATGGTTTATAAACGCAGCCGATTGTTGAAAATGAAATTTTTTACTACGTTGCTTAAATCTTTGTAGGATTTTCATTTCATATTATGATCTTTAAGTTGATTACATTTCATATTATGATTAAACCACATTTTTGGAATTCTTGAAGGAATAAGAGACAAAAAAAGGACTTAACGTTATTTGTAATCCCTTGTTCAGTTAAGTAACTAACACTTGTCATGTGACCTATTTCAGTGGGCCCTGAGTAAGAGTAACCCCAGCGCTTTACGTGAGACCTGTGTGGAGGTTCCCTCGGTTACCTGGGATGACATCGGAGGTCTGGAGAACGTCAAGAAAGAGCTGCAGGAACTGGTCCAGGTAAAAACAAACCCATACATACATGTTCATAAATAATTCTGAACAACGGCTTTTAATTAAGAGCAGACCTAAGTGCAATTTTTGTAAAATCAAGAAAATATTTTAGAAAATGCAGTGTTTTTAAATAATGAAAATAGAAAATTAACAAGTAAATTGATAGAACATCTATTTTTCATGTGAACTACCAGCAGATTCACAGGGTTCTGTATTGTTAGTTTCTTTGTTCTTGTAGTACCCAGTAGAGCACCCAGAGAAATTCTTGAAGTTTGGAATGACTCCTTCTAAAGGCGTCCTGTTTTACGGCCCACCTGGATGTGGTAAAACTCTGCTGGCCAAAGCCATCGCTAACGAATGCCAGGCCAACTTTATCTCCATCAAAGGTCCAGAGCTGCTGACCATGTGGTTCGGAGAGTCCGAGGCCAATGTCCGAGACATCTTTGACAAGGCGCGATCTGCTGCCCCCTGTGTGTTGTTCTTTGATGAGTTGGACTCCATAGCTAAAGCCAGAGGAGGAAACGCTGGTGATGGAGGTAAGGGAGGCTACTCAGAAGTACAGAAAAATTCTGTAAAAAAGTTTCCATTAACACAAATTTACACAACAACATTTTTTAGCCCCTTGAAGATAACACAACGTGGTTATATTGACGAGTTGAAAAATTGACGATTTTTTGTTTAGGAAAAAATGACAAAAATAAACTTGAAAAAATTTAAGTTCAATGTTGTTGCAAATAATGGAATCATTAAAATTTATTTTTGTCCAACCATCACTGTGTAAGATTGTACAAACTATCTTGTGTGAGATTTGAAAATATTTCTTAATTGTAATTTGTTTTCATTAAAGCGATCAATTGATAAAACTTGATATACACGGCGTGTATTTAGCCTTTTTGGTATGATTTTATGTTGTGATTATATATCACTATGTTTTCATAACTAATTACAAAAGAAATTAAAAATAACTTTGATATAGTTTTAATGGACGGCAAAGGGAGCCTAAGCGGTATAATGTTATACATCAATTGGTGCAACATATATGAGTGAAGTTTGAGAGAAATTTTGCCAAGTTAAACAATATATCTAATTCACTTCGTTTTTAGTTTACAGTAACACAAGGACTGATCATGACATAGGAAAAAATAACAAAAATAAACTAAAAAATTTAAGTTCAATGTTGTTGCCCTAATCGTTGTATGTTATTGTTGTCGGTTTTGTATTTTGTCGTTGTCGTTGTATACATGTAAACTTTTCACATTTTCATCTTCTTTATTTATAGGTGGAGCTGCAGCCAATTGATCAACCAAACTTGGCACAAATTATCCTTGGGTAAAGGGGATTCATCAGTTTGTGCAACAAACAGGTGCAGAGAATGCCCTTTTAAACAATGAGATAATTCATGAATTTGTTAAAAAATTAATGGCATTTTTAAAAAATTTCTTCTCCAGTCGTTGTTGTCGTCGTAGGTTGTCGTTGTTGTAAACTTTTGTGGAATTTTCATCCTTAGGTAGTGTAGTTTCAAGTTTGGCACAAATTATCCCCCGGGTAAAGGGGATGGGTTTGTTCAAAATGGCAACGCCCTTTTACGTAGGAATATATAATTTGTTAAAAAATTAATGGCATTTTTAAAAAATCTTCTTCTCCAGAACCGCTGGGCCAGGAAAGATGAAACTCATGTGGAATCATCCTTAGGTAGTGTAGTTTCAAGTCCAGAAACTAGAAAGTCCAGAAAGTCCAGAAACCTTCAAATCATGACCCCCTGGGCAAGGGTGGGGCCAAAATGGCCGACCCTAGTTTTACATAGGAATATATAAGAAAAATCTTTAAAAATCTTCTTCTCCAGAACCACTGGGCCAGGAAAGATGAAACTCATGTGGAATCATCCTCAGGTAGTGTAGATTCAAGTTTGTTCAAATCATGACCCCTGGGACAAGGGTGGGGCCAAAATGGCCGACCCAAGTTTTTCATAGGAATTTATAAGAAAAATCTTTAAAAATCTTCTTCTCCAGAACCACTTGGCTAGGAAAGATGAAACTCATGTGGAATCATCCTTAGGTAGTGTAGATTCAAGTTTGTTCAAATCATGACCCCCGTGACAAGGGTGGGGCCAAAATGGCCGACCCAAGTTTTACATAGGAATATATAAGAAAAATCTTTAAAAATCTTCTACTCCAGAACCACTGGGCCAGGAAAGATGAAACTCATGTGGAATCATCCTCAGGTAGTGTAGATTCAAGTTTGATCAAATCATGACCCACGGGGCAAGGATGGGGCCAAAATGGCCGACCCAAGTTTTACATAGGAATATATAGGAAATATCTTTAAAAATCCTTCTCAATTACCACTGGGCCAATATATGTGGAATCATCCTCAGGTAGTGTAAAATTTTTTCAAATCATGACCCCCTGCCCTTGGGATATGGTGGGGCCAAAATGGCCGACCCAAGTTTTACATAGGGAAATATTGGGAAACCTTTTAAAATCTTATTTTCAAGTACTTCAAAGCTATGATTAGTGATACCCGGGGTATTTATATGGAATCATCCTCAGGTAGTGTAGATTCTAGTTTGTTCAAATGATGAACGCCTGGAAGGGGGGGGGGGGGTAAATTCAAGCCTGATGTGCTCAGGTGAGCGCTGTGGCCCCTGGGCCTCTTGTTATACATAGAAGTGGAAACTAATCAATAATTTCTTTGCACTCTTAAAAATATTAAAATTGGACATTTGGATGCCAAAGTTAGAAATTCATCATTCTTTAAATTAGATTTAGATTTTATATAGGTTTTACAAAGATTAATTTAAGTTCTTTATTTCCCCATTTTGTACAGACCTGACATTATTGATCCTGCCATCTTACGACCTGGTCGTCTGGATCAGTTGATCTACATTCCCCTGCCAGATGATAAATCCAGAATCGCCATCCTCAAAGCCAACCTCAGAAAGTCACCAGTAGCTAAGGTATCCTTACTGTGTAAACATGTCAGGTGCTAATCAATGGCCTGTTCAACAGGGCGAGCGCTCGCAAACATTTCTATTGGAGGTATAAGTAATTGTGGTAAGTGCTCATGAATGTTTGCTCTGTTGAACAAGCCTCTGGTGTTCACAGTCTACTCATGTTAAAAGTGTTCACATATATATAGCCCAAGTATTTTTTATTAGAAAATTTATACATGTATTTTACCATTACTTCAGCCTGATGTGTTACATTTATCACACATCTTTATCCAGAGTAGAATACATAATGTGTAACAAAAATGGGTTGGTACTGCTAGCATAAGTTGCGACAGTTTATGCAATATGTAGAATAATTTTGATAACATTTTAAAAGAAGTAAGCTTTTAACACCCAAGTTTTTTTGGTCAGGATGTAGACCTGGATTACCTAGCCAAGGTGACACATGGCTTCAGTGGAGCTGATCTCACCGAGATTTGTCAGAGGGCTTGTAAACTGGCCATCAGGCAGTCAATAGAGGCAGAAATCAGAATGGAGAGAGAAAGGGACAGAGATCCCAACGCAGATATGGTAAGTCTATAGAGGCAGAAATCAGAATGGAGAGAGAGAGGGACAGAGATCCCAACTCAGACATGGTAAGTCTATTGAGGCAGAAATCAGAATGGAGAGAGAAAGGGACAGAGATCCCAACGCAGATTTGGTAAGTCTGTGAGAATAGAGTAAATCATTCTTAGGTTTGTTATTTTTGGGCGAAAAGATCATTTTGTTTACGATGTCCTCTCAAGTGAGGCAATGTTTAAGAAACTGAAATCTAAAGGTCTGTTTGGTTGCTGTTTATGGCTGGTCTTACTTACAGGAAATTGAGGACTTTGACCCCGTTCCAGAAATAACCAGGGCACATTTTGAGGAGTCAATGAAGTTTGCCCGTAGGTCTGTCAGTGACAATGATATCAGGAAATACGAGATGTTCGCTCAAACACTACAGCAGAGTCGAGGATTTGGAGGAAACTTCAGGTAGGTCATTGAGGGCAGGGTTTTATTGTTCATATATCATACACGAGTAATTTTAATGCAGATTTATACAGTGATCTATTAGACATGAGAGAGATACAGGGGAGGGGAAGGGTTCCATAATGATGTTGACTCACTTTTTCTCCACCAGTGGAATCAGAAAAATATTATGTCAGTTTGAAATTGGGACATTCTATTATTATATACTAATTGAACAATTTGAAATCTTGCCATAAATGTGCATTAAGGGACTCCGACCCTCAGCCAGGAAGGACAACTCTTTAATTTATAATTTAATTCAAAAAGTCTTTAAATGAAGCTTGAAAATTAAATCTTTTTATGCAACAATTTTCATTATATGCCTCTCACTGTGCTTCAAGGTTCTTTGAACTTCTCAGAAAGGTCTAGTTAAATGAAGAAATTTTTATCCCGTAAAAGCATTTTTAGATACCAATGTTTATCAACATGATATGAAATTAGAAGTGATTTATGGAGCTTTGCATAAGCACATGAGAGGCATGCATTAAATTAAATTGAACAAAATAAAAGTGAAAAATGACCTAAATATTTGTTTTGAACTTGTGGTACATAAATAGAAATAGCGCTAATGAGCAATTTATAAATTTCAGGTTTCCAGGACAACAGAGTGGCAGTAACCCCCCAAATCAAGGTCAGGGCGGGAACTTTAATGATGATGGAGATGACGATTTATACAGTTAATTGTGATAAACATCTCTTATCTGAAAACATACAGACAGTGATAGTAATATTTATAATGTTTTGTTTTCATTTTATTTCATTTATCATTTTTGAGTCGTGCAAACATAAGACTGTTGTCATATGAATTTTTTGTGGGACAAAGCTTTTTTCGCATTCAGTCATCATTAATGCCACAGAATATAAGATTATCACAACACAGTACGTGTACCAGCATGACTAGCTCTGTGTACGATGTGTATTAAATCAGAAACCAGTACTTTGTTTTCTTATTAATTTAATAAAAGATGATGTTGTAAAAATAGTACAGAAGTTTGAAATATAATCCATGATATATGTGCTGTAAATTAAATTGATGTCTATTTTTTTTGATTTATGAACATTTATTAAATCCCTGAGCACTGATAGGTAAGGTTATTTTGAAACATTAAAAATGATCTAAGCCGTTGGAAAGAACATGCCTCTCAGTTTTACCTTTTGTATTTTGTAATGGACTTTTGCAAGAAGCACCAACTTTTACAGTTGAGGGTTTACTTTGACATAATGTACGGAGGTAAGAATTGATAATAGATAAGAAAATTATTCTAGTGGTCATGGGTATATAGTGTTAGGGGCACAAACATTTGAAGGCAGGAAGTAAGATGGTTGTCATTTTCTTCAAGGTTAACTTATGTGTGCATTGGAATAACCTTTTGTTTTTGTTGAATTAAATGTTGAGCTAAATATTTATTTCATAAAAGAGCATCCGTACATTGGCCCAGTGTAAAAGTAAGCTATCAACTGTAAAAGTCAGCGCTTCTCGTAAAAGTCCATTACAATCAAATGCAAAGCAGTTTTCTGAAATGTTTCCCTGTATTGTGAGCTTGTTTGTTTCATAATGGGTGGATACCTCTAAATCTGATGGTCTCGGCTCCATCTCTAATAAAAATTCGATAATATTTAAAAGACAATAAGACAATGCTTTTAGAGAAATTTTTTTTTAGTAAATTCAGTAGAAAATTTGTGGTTAGGATTGTGTGAGTATTGTTAAGTCAAGCAAGTATGCTTCTTAAAACAAGAGACTCCAGGTCAGGGCCTTAAAGATCACACTATAAAGAAGCACATGATCCAGTGGTCCAAAATTCTCAAATATTCAGTAAAAACTCCCTTGTATGTTAATCACAACTATGTATTCTGATTGCCTTGTTGTTGCCTACAAGCAGAGAAGATTTTTCAAAGAATATATTCTTACTAAATATCAAAGGAGCCCCACCCTAACACCAGAATCCCTATTAGCGATCGGGAAATTCACAAATTTGGAAGAGGCATCTTTGCTAATCAGAATACTTGATACTGGAGAAGAGAATTAGATTTTTTTCTGAAGTATAGATTTTTCCTATGGTCAATAGAGCCCTACTTAATGCCTTAGCCCCTTTTGCAGGGGTTTATGAGAGGCATCAAGGCTTATCATAACTGTGTACTTTGTTACTTTCTTAAAACCCAAGTACATGGAAAATTAAAAAAAAATATACATTTAAATGCATTTTCACTATATAAACAAAAGACCCACCCTAACACCAAAACTTCTTGCAATGGATTCTCAATTTTGAAAGAGGTGCCCATGCTTATCAATACATGCATTTGGTAAGGTGTTATGTACCCTGGGCAGAGATTTTCAAAGAGAGGAAGGAGCATCCTTGCTCACAATAACTATTCCTTAACTTTTTCTGGTTATTCAATATTTCCCAGAAGCAGAGAAGATTGTCAAAGAATTAATGTATGTTCACCAAATAATCATCCAACACCAGAATCCCTAATATAGGGGCCAGAAATTTCATAATTTTAAAAGATCGAGGCACCATTGCTCATCATAACAATGCACTTTCTCTGTTAATTATCCATTAGGAGAGAAGATTTTCAAAGCATTACTTCTTTTAATGTATCAATGGCGTCTCAACCTCTAACTTAGAACTCCTGACTCTGGAGCCATGACTTTCAAAATACTGAAAGCACCCTCGCTCATCACAACCGTGTTCAAGTCGCCCGTGTTGTGCAGTGGTTAGAGCGTGTGCTGTAAGAGTCGTGAAGTAAGGAGTTGAACTGTGGGACGTGGGGACCATGCTTCGGATGAGACCGTATATACCAAGGTCCTGTATTGCAGTAGGTGCTGGCATGAAAAAGACCCCTCCCTGCTCAATGACCCTAAGTGCCAAGTATAGAACATTTTTTTAGCTCTCCACCAGCAAAGTGGTGGCTTCTCCTTATGAGTGAATCATAGGATCACACGACTCTGGGACCATGGATTTCACAATTTGGTGAACTCATTGCTTGTTAATATCACGGAGACAGTTTTAACGGTTTGATATGTAAAGGGAAAGAAGATTTTTGAAAGATTGCATTAAATCTATTGGCTTTGCCTTCCAGCCAACATTTAGATATATCGACGACGTATTGTCAGTCAAGAACGGTTATTTCCACTTATGTTGATACGATATCTCCCTTTGAGCTTGAAATAAAAGATACCACAAAATCTCACACTTCTATATCTATTTCATATATTGAATATTTTTCTAGAAAAAAACCTGATTGGTAATCTAACAACCAAGTTCTATGATAAACATGATGCATTTAACTTTTCAATCGTCACATTCCCTTACTTATGCAGGAATATACCTTTAATATCAACTGCATATCGCAGTTGATTCGATACATACGCAAGAGCATGCTCTCGTATGAACACTAAAACGAGGTAAGTTATTAACAAACAAGTCGATGAAACAAGAATATCAACAGTTTTAATATTTCCTGATGTTTTACACTTCTGATTCTAGAGAAGTTATTTTCCCATGCCAAACTTATTTACTCTTCATGGCGTGCGGGTTTGGACGCTGCCATTAAGAAATTTAATGTAGTGGATTCCTGATTCTGGTTCCTTCCCCTCATAAACCTTTCGATTTTTTGTAAAACTTTTGCCTTCTATACTCCTTAAGAAATTAGACTGCCTCCCCGAATAAGAATTTGAACAAGAAGACCACTAATATTTAAGAAAATGGCATATAAAACTGTCTTGGTGCTCTTGCAATTCCTTGCTTTTCTCAAACCTTTGCTGTTTTTATCAGGTGCATCTTTATTGTAAATTTTGTTTTGAGGGTTATAAGCAATGGATTGAAGTTTCATTATCCGTTTGAATTTTTGACAAATATGGATAACTACAATTTCTGATTTTTTAAAAATAGTTGTTTAGATATTCTTACTGTAAATTCCACATATTTCAGTGAATATTTCTTTGGGATTCTTAACAAGGTTTACAGGAACTTTAATGAAGGCTTTAATTTCACTCTAGTTTACCGATTCTTTACCATTCATTTTTAATGCAGTGTCTCGAATAACCCTTGTTTTCCAGCTTCTCACAATGAAAGTTTTTGATGAAAAGTGGTCACATAAACTGTTAATAATTCATCAAAGATTCAATCATGAGAGAAAGTCAAGCTTAATGTCATATGATTTCTATATTGTATGTCATAGAGTTCAAGACATTATATATTGAACAGCCCTCGTAGCAGAATACATTTTTAAAAACTTTCACTTGAAAAGAAGCATCTTGCTGTGATCTTCAAATCGACTTGTAGATAAATCGACGACTCCCAGTGAACTTGAAATAAAAGACAACACAAAAGGGCGTTTTACGGACTATTTGATTTAAACATATTTTATTGAACACAATCAATGGAATTGGACACGTTATACCAACTTAGATTGTCCTCTCCAACTGAGTATAGATGGTTTGGACCAATTAACAACTAAGTTGTATGACTTTTAGCTTTTTCCTCTCAATGTGCTTCAAGGTTCTTTGAACTTCTCAGAAAGGTCTAATTAAAAGTAGAAATTTTTATCCCGTAAAAGCATTTCTAGATCAATCCAACTTGATGTTGGGCCAACGGTATTGGGCCACTGTTTGGCCAATTTATTCTTTCAATATTGGGCAAACGTTTTGTACATTTGGGCCGTTTTAAGCGATTGATGTTGGGCCAACGGTAATTTGCTCATTGGGCCTTAATCAAACCAACTTGTTGGCTTATTGTTGGGCCAATGTAATAGTTAATATTGGACCACTTTTGGGCCAATGTATTCTTTCAATGTTGGGCAAACGTCATTTTTGTACAGTTGGGCCATTGTAAGCAATTAATGTTGGGCCAACAATGTTTATTAACATGATATGAAATTAGAAGTGATTTATGGAGCTTTGCAAAGAACCTTGAAGCACATTGAGAGGCAAATAATGAAAATTGTTGCATGAAAATATTTAATTTTCAAGCTTCATTTAAAGACTTTTAGAATTAAATTATAAATTAAAGAGTTGTCCTTCCTGGCTGAGGGTCGTTGTCCCTTAATAATTGTTACTTCTATTCATATGTCGACTAGATGTATCCTAGTGAAATTGAAATAAATGATACACATATTTTAAGTTATGAGTATTTTACTAGACAAAAACATTAAAAGTAACCTAATGAAACTTTCTGATAACTTCCAACTTTATCGTCAACTTCACTTATTTACGTAGCAATATACCTCCATCACAGGGTCTGCAAGTGTACAGTGTTGACGATGGAAAAGTCATCTCTAAGTACAAGAAATTCCAAAGCAAGGAAGCTATTAACAAATAAGTTTATGATATAAGGATATCAAAAGACTCTTAAAGTCTAGATATCGCAATATCAATGGTATTTACAATGTCCTTCTTAGCATATACACACTATCATTAATTAAGTTGAATATTGAAAGATTATTTAGACATTTTTTTCACACTGAATTTTCTACAGATTCTTTTCACACTGAATTGTTCTACGGATTCTTTTCACACTGAATTGTTCTACGGATTCTTTTTACACTGCATTGTTCTACGGATTCTTTTAACACTGAATTGTTCTACGGATTCTTTTTACACTGAATTGTTCTACGGATTCTTTTCACACTGAATTGCTCTACGGATTCTTTTCACACTGAATTTATCTATGGATTTTCCCGATTGTCCAATCCTGACAAGGAGTACCCAGCGAGTGTGAGACAGGAGATGCTTACTCCTTAGTGACACCTGATTCCAACTACTGAGGTTTATAGAAGTCCGTATGTATAGAGTCCACCTCCACTTCATTAAAGTTATATTGAAGCTTCAGAAGGATGTGCTTATCTTTTATTGGCATGTCACATTGGATATTGAGCAGTGTATTATCTTTTTCGTGCCAGCACTCACTGTGACACGCATTTTCTCAGTTTATTTTAAAATCCGCGATTTAATGATTAATTTTCTAGCTACTACGATCCAACCACTGCACAACAAAGGTTATTGGACATGGAAAGTGCAATTGATTTGAGCTATATGCCCATAGTTAAATTTAGTCGTGCCCTTTATAAATGCAGCAAAGTGTATTAAACCATTGTTTGGTATAAGTTATATCATTGTAAGTTGGACAAAAAAAAAGATTTTTCTCAATTTTTTTTGCTTAAAATCTAGGATATATATATGCATTAAAGTATTTCATGAAAAAAAGGTGATACATATATCGTATGTGCATTTTAAAGATGTTACTCAATATCTTGTTTTAAATTCTGAGATCACAGTTTATTTTTTTTTTGAGAAAGGTCTTCAGTTCGACCAATTCTTAAATCGATACAAGTTACTGTCAAATAACTTGATTTCACAACGACTTCGAAAACTTTGTTTGAAGTCAACATTTTGCTAATTCTATGGTACTTTTTAAGTACAACCTATCCTTTGGTAGTATTTTTTGGCCATGTTTTATACTTACATGTATCGTGCTGCCCAATGTATCTTAAATGATAATACTTTGTTTGCCTTCTTATAAGCTTACGAACAGGGGTATGCTTTTACTCTTTCTAGGCACCTGACCTCAACTATGGTGCTTCCAGTTCCAACCGTCCGTGGTTTTGTCTCATTGATAATTTATTTTGTTTAAACGAAATAAGAGATCGAACGCTACAATTCTTTGTCTTCAGATTTTTTTTTTCAATCAACTTCGAGAAAAATAAGGAAGTTTTATTACAATCATATTTATTTCTGTTTAAGAGTTGTCTCCCTCAACAAGATAGCCGATTTATAGTCACACAGTGTTAATTGTTAACCAGAAATCAATAATTTCTTATTCAGCTAACATTTTTAACGAAAAGCAAGTTCCCCCACCCAAACCAAAAATGTTAAGGGGGTAATCTAACTTAGCGTGAAGAGTTACCACTGCCTCGTAATTGACATTCTCTGATATCGGAATCTGACAGACAGACAGACAACATTCTGTCACTGTGCTGGTGTTTGACAGATCCGATGCTGTGGCACATATCACGGTTATCCCGTGTGACAATAATGTCTCCTTATCAGTCAGGGTAATTCTGTCTATACAAGATTCCATTCTCATTTGATCTATATTAGTATACATTCCCATCAAATTAAAATAAAATGCTTTAAAGGTGTTTTTTTTTTTTTGACCGAGTTATCAATTAGAGATATTTAACATTTTATCTAAAATATATCGAATATATTCAATGTATGTAATATATTTCATTATTGAATGGGACAGAATATTCTTATTTAAAAAAAGTTACGAAAGCGAAGCAACGAGGAAATAAGATACATATTTAATATAATCCCGTCTTATACGCAAAATAATTCAAAGAACATTATACATGAACAGTCTCTTATCTATTTATTACATTTTCTCTAATTCTCCTGTTCACAATATTAGACAATTATAGTTTTTATCGTTAATGAATATCGCTTGTGAAACTAATGAAACAATTCTGTGAAAATCAAATGTGTATCTGAAAAAAATAATTTATTTTTTGTCTAAGTTCCAAAATTTACCATTGTTAATAAACGACTGCATGATCTATTTACTTTCAATCACTTCTATATAACAAATATCATCTGAGTGTTCTTTCAAGATTTTTATCACTTAATTCCTTCTACGTAAGTTAAAGTTATAATATGAAACTTTTGAATATCATTCTCAGTATGAATATTATATAGAAGAACGCAAGTTTTCTAGGCTCTGAACTGCAAAAGGATATTATACATTCATGAGTGGGAAATAATTTAAGGATTTAATAAAACACTTAACGTATGTATACATGTCACGGAGTTAAAACAAGAAAGATTTGAAAATTTCTCCAATCTTATTCAGATGAGATGCAGCAGGTTATATGCAATAGTTCTTTTTGGAATCATCCGACTTAATGTTCAATTAATTTGTTCTAAAAAATATTATTATTTGGAAAGAAAAGATATGCTTATTTCTGGGGGAGTTTCTTTTTTTTTTTAATTCTCTTAGAATCAATCTAATGTGAACATCGTCAAATGGGTTTTATTTTATATGCATGGAATAAAACTTGTAAATAAAATTGTCAAACAAAAGCAAATAAAGTTTTTTAAAAGTTCATAAAAAGATAAAACTTAAAAGATTAAGGCTGCTCTCTTTACCCATTACTTCAAGTCGTTTGTCAAAAAGACAAGGGGCAATCGGCGGGTCTATAATAGTTATACTAGATTAGGAAAAAGGGTTCGTTTTTCTGTGGGCTATGCTATAGAAAAGTTATAAAGAACACAACAAAACCATACAAAAAAGGAAATAAATTTCTGTGGTAAGCTAATTATGGAAAAACATCAAAGCAGGGGGAGGCCACTCATGTCAAATTCAGCAGCAGAATAAAAGTGAGTTTTGTGTTGACATCCTCTTCGTCTGCCAGCTTTCACATGATAGTCCGACCGAATCTAGATTGAAGGGCCGCCCAAGAAGACGGCAGAAAAATGTAATTATCGGTACAAATCGAGACCGCACTATGGAGTGTGTGCACAAGTAATTACACCATTTAAATTTTTATTCAAAAACAAGATCGGCAATTCTCAGCCCAGTGGTAAATAAAAACAAAGCCGATCTCGATAGATATTAAATTATAATGTGATTAGTAGCTAACAACTCTGATGGCATCTGCCGCTCGGCGCTTCAGTGCAAGATTCCCCATGAAAGTATGTCTGCTTATCGCACTGTTGGCGGTCGCACAACTTGGGTGGCCTCTCCTGTGCGGTGAATGGTTGCTAGGCAACTAATGTAATGCCGCTGTTACAAGAGAATTCTTATTAGTGCTCCTCCAATCGTCTTAAAGATGTGGGTGATCTTCCTACGTCAATCAAGGGAAGAGGGGCGGAGTCGATGCAAATCTTACAAGCAAGCAGTTCTATTCTAAGAATCATATGGAATGCACGGTGTTTTGATGTTTGAATGATATATACTGAATATAATGGACTACACAGTGATTACTCAGGAGTTAATTAAAGGACAATGTAGATCTAGAGCTGAGTATCTTGAAAACTTTGTTTCAACTTCAAATACCGGCTAAAATCTTGGAAGAATTTTTGCACGTGGGTTTTTAAACTTCCAAATGGCAACTGTACATACGTGATTTGATCCTTTACTCTGATGGAAAGACAATGAGATCCAGGAAGAAACCTGATAAAGAGGTGGACGAGGAGTTAGTGACTCGGACGAGCTGGGTCAACGCCGAACTAGCCTACAAACACGTCAAAAAGGTCAGTAGTAAATAGCCATCCCTCCTTAAACTGCGTTCCGGGGGAATCGGACCCTCGGGACACCTGAATGGGATGTTAAAATTATTATGAAAGTCATTCAAGTTATAATTAGCTTAGTTCTGATAGCAGTATATTGACATTGTTTGGAAATCAGGAAAAAATCATTCATAATAATAACTGACAACACACACATGTTACGCCGTGGTGCTCATGTGAAACGCGAAAAATGTTGTTTATTATGACCTTAAAAAGCTTGAAAATAACAGTAAAGATTTGATATACATTCTTTGAATATCTAAAAAGATCAGTAGTAAAATCAAATCAGATTATTTTGTGTCATATTTACAGGGAAAGGCAGATGGAAGCGTCTGTGCGCTGTGGTTAAGAATGCACATACAGCGATACATGTTTAAAATAGGCCGATTCATTCAGTTACATTGTGGAAAAGTACTTTTTGTTGGGATTTTACTTTTATCTTTGTGCTGTATCGGATTAAAAACGACCACACTGCAGACCGACGTAGAGAAACTCTGGGTTGAAGGTATGTATACAAGTTCACAAAATTCAAAAGAACGGTAGCTCCGCCATTTTGGTGACCTAAATACGACTCGGCGTAGTGTGTGGTCCCGTAATGTACAGTACAGACGGCAGATATTTTCAGATGTTTTCGCTTCACAAAGAGAAGATACAGGCTGGAAAATATCGCAATGTCCGGGCGTATCTCGGCTTGAATTTACCCGCCATCGCTTCTATTTAATCCGCCAGGAAAACAATCGATAGGGTATTAGTGGAAGTCGCACGACTCTAGTTCTACTGTAGATTTCTCTAAGTCCCATTCTTTTTATCCTTCAGAATACATGAATAAACGTTCCTTAACGATTCTGTTAATTATTTTTTCTCTCCTAATATTTATTATACATATAAACAACTTAATTTATTTTTATATGAAGTTATTTGTTAAAATTGCAGAGAGAAATAGATAAATGTATCTGTTTTGTCCGAAACATTCCTAAGCCGATGCAATAAAGTACATAATGGGAGAATATTTCTGAAATAGACATATAACAGGTTGATTAATCGTCCCGATGGAGAAGGAACAAAGATCGGGCAGACCACACACACGGTGTATTAAATGGCTGCTCATTCACCGTGACAAGGCACGGCTCAATGACTCCTTAAAATCGCACCGAAATCTTTTAAACCATCAAAGGTTTGTCACAATTCAACAAAGAACCGATTAATTACGGCAAATGTGAACATTTTATCACTTCAGATTAATTTAGAAATGAGGAAATATTATTGTAATAAGTTAGAGGGTCGTATGTTATTTTTGGGTGGGAAATTGTCCACCATGAAGATGTGCACAGCTGTAGCGCTCGTCGAACACAAAACAAGCCGCTATCGTGTTAGGGGGTGATTAGCACGTTACCTTCCCCCGTACTAACCCAGGTGCGCTTACACCGTCCAGCAATTTACCATAAATAGCAAATAAATTACCAAAAAGTCAGGAATCTAGAAAATTTCTGTAAATTATCGATACAAAGGAAATTAACAGATTTCTGAAAATTGTGCAAAAAAACTTTTTAAAAGTGGAGACCCAGAACATTGTCATCTATCTAAGTTTTAAAAAGTTATAAAAATATAAATTATATACCAAAAGGGATATTATAATACCATACTTAATTTACTTACTGAACAAATAAAACAACTTTATCCTTAAAAATTTAAATAATTCAGGGTTGTTTGAGGATTTTTGGGAAAGTAACTACATATTAGCGTACGGTTACTCTGCACTTGGTTCACTCGCTCTGGTCGGCAGAGAAGCATGAATTCAAGATAACAAATTAAGAAGCGCCAGTTAAAATTGGGTCAAAGGATCTTCTGGAAAAAAAGTAAATTAAGAGAGTTAAAAAGTAACTGCTTTTGAGCGGGGACATTGTTCGGATTGTTGTGTACACTCTGGTTAAGGTTGCCCTGTCATTGTGTGTACCCCGAACGTCCTAGCTTCCTTCCAACAAAGCCTTCTTTGTACCCACGTACACTCACAGTTCTCAGCGCGACTCAATCCTCTTTTCTTTTTCCCCCATTACATTACCGAACAATGAAATCTTAAAGAAGTTTAATCAATCTGGGACCACACAGAAGTTGGGTCCTCGTCATTCATAGGCAGAAACCCAATAAGAGGCCACGCAGTAACCTGTGACGCCGCAGCTTCACGGGTCAGGGATCTCCCAGTATTTCTACTACGCTGTGAATTGTATCTAGATAATCGGCAAGTTGGACAAGAAAAAAACCCTGGCATATCTAGAAGTAACAGTGTACAATGGTAACACTGCCGGTCATTAGATAACGCGGTTATACCCCCAATCTGATACTGTGTGCGATCACAGTGATTTCCTCCACAGAAACAGCGTCTAATACCAGATCCAATTTCAGAATTGGTTGGAAAGGTACAAAAGACATGGAAATAAATTAGCAAAAAAGGTAGAAAAACAAAGGAATGGAAAATATCTGGAGAAATTTGAGAAAAATTACGCCAGGCTGAGAATAACGCACAGTAAAGTTTAGATCAAGAAATTGGAAAAGACAAAGTATTTTTGAGAAAAAAGACAAAAATGATACGGAGATTTTTAAAAACTTTTTATTTCTTAAGTTCATTGTCAAAATGATGGTATACAGGAAATAAATAAAATTTACTTCAGATAATTGGTAAAATTAAAATCCCAGTTGACATTTATTACACATGAAATGATATTTAAAACAGTAAGTTTAAGTACTAGTTGCAAGAATGCATTACACATATAAATGTGTAAAGTGTTTAAACATAGAAAACATTATATCTAGAGGAGCTATGGACAACATAATCATAAAACATTTGTACATCATTGTATAAATAAAAACCTGTAAGTGAAGAACTTTTTGCTAAACAATGAGACAGTCATTATTTATGACGAATTATTATGCAAAAATTAGTTAATACTGATAGACCTACAGGTATTTATATATATAATATTGCAATAAAATAAAATGACAATTAGGACCGCCCAGTGTAAAGGACTGTAAGTTATAAAAACAAAAGGAAAGATAAGAAATGCAGGCCACTGCAGATCATAAAATAAACATATCCACATATGATTAAAAAAGCGTAAAGAATGTTGGATTTGTATCTAAACGATTCAATTTTCTTAAAGAAGGAAAGTTAAATTCACAAATTTTTACTTACACAAAGAACTGCAGAATAACTACAAAACTAAGAAAGTCTAAAGTTCAACCTATATTGGCTCAATAATTTTGTTGAAATAAATTAACAAAATTAAGTCATAGAACATTAACTGTGCCGTTTTATCTAAATACATATACCTCTCTGACCCAGATTAGTATGCCCTCTATAAGCTCTGTACGGCATTCATTTCATTCTTTTTGCAGTTATATGTAAATAGAACTCACGTAAGTTAATCTACATGTTGACAATCGACAATGAATGCAATGAAAACAAACTAGGGAGCTTCTGTAATGCGTGTAAGCAGAGATAAGCCTCGGCCGAATGTAAATGTCAAGTTGTCGTCGACATTTCACTACTTCCATCTACAAAAAAATAAACCCTGAATAAAACATCGTCAGTCACTGAGAGAAGGCATTCCTGATTTTTTTTTAAATTCTTAAATTGATAAATCTCAAGGTGTTTAACACGCATAAATTAGAATGACAGTTAGAGAGACCTACCGCAGCTCGGCTGCCATTATTATACATACCTCCTCAGTACACGACTAAGTCCTCTGAGTACGAACTCCTAGGTGGTAACCTCTGTCTAATTAATGACCTGACAAGCTCAATCTGATGTCTGTAACCTCTCAATTCTGAATTACTGCATTTTATTTGGGTTTTATAAAATGATTCAGATAAGAGAAGCATTACATGAAAACGTCTGACATTAAATACATTTTGCCTTGAGAACAGAGCGTGCGTTTCTTGTTTGAAGATGGTGATTTTATTTTATGACAAGTGTATATGAATGAAAGTTTTAATTATGGCACGAGAAATAACTTAAACGTTATCTAAAATAGAACTTAAAAGATAATAAAAACTTAATTTATAAAAAAGTAGTGATGAAAGAAAAGATGAATGTCCTGGGGCTATTTGACTGAATGAGAAAAAAACATAGAAGGAAGCACACATACAAATATTTGTCATATACACCATATGGTTCTATATGTGAATTGTGTATTCACAAATCAATGGCCCTTCTGGCCTATATCCGATTAAAACAATATAATCATGATTATAATAGGCAATGGTTGCATCAGGTGCAACATTGCTCGGATCCTCATTTTCAAAATTTCCCAATTAACAATTCAATAACATGTCTGTTCCACACATTGAAATATGAGCATCACATGTAATATAAAAGAAAACCAAACATCTTATATTGTGAAAATATTTTTTTTCAACATGACAAAAATTGTACCTGTAATTGTAGAGGGTGGAAGGCTAGAGAAGGAATTAGAATACACGAGGACAACAGTCGGGGAGGGGCGAGGAACCACGAGTCAACTGGTAATCCAAACCCCGAGGGGAGATTCCAACATCCTCACGGTGCCATCCCTACAATTCCACCTAGAGACTCTCCTGAAAGTCACCCAGATATCCGTAGATATGTTTGACGTGTAAGTCTTCATCAGAAGTCCATTTTACATTGATTATCATTTATCTTCTGTGTTGCCTGGACGTTTTCTGTTCGTGTTGGTAAAAGTACAATTGTTTAAAAATAATAAAAATGAAATGAAAATAATCAAAATGACATTAAAATTGTTTTTGTTCAGGACATGGAAGTTCCATGATCTCTGCTATCTCCCTGAATTTCCAAAGACAGAGGGGAGTGGAGTCTGGTTTGCCAATGTAAGATTTCCCCACATCTTTAAAGAATACTGTATAGGATCATTATTTTACTCAAATTTTGTTATTAATAAAAGTTTAAAAGTTTCCACACATGAAAATAAAACAACTTTCACACTGCTTTATTATCAGTGAAGTTTTAGTTTTACTATAATTGATATTTAAGCGATTGTTAATACTGTATTCATTTCATCATACGGAAAATTATTCCCCCGTTGAAGTTTCCATCCTGTCTTTTATTGCAGAGAATGGAAGAAATAATTCCCTGTATGATTATTTCTCCTCTGGACTGTTTCTGGGATGGTGCAAAAATTCTGGGACCTGATCACAATGTCTACGTAGATATGTAAGTAAAAGAAAATCTATTGATAATAATCTAAAACAATTCATAAATACGATAAAAAATTCAGAATTTTTTTAAAAAACAAATTGTTCTTGATTTAAAGTAACACAGTAATATTTAAAATCCAAGTTTCGTAAAGTAAATTAGAAGTAATAACTCTTCCTATATATGTGTCCCTATAGAGGTTTACCAATCAAGTGGACAAATTTGGATCCCCTGGGTTTTATAAAGATGTACAGACAACAAGATCCATCCAACTCTTACTTGAGAGACCTGGAGGAAATCATGAATAAAGTAAGGTTCAATTTCATTCAGAATACACACCTATGTGTAAGTCTTTAAAAAATCTTATTACCCAAAATTTAATTTGTTTTGAGCTTGAATTCTGTTCGACATCTCCACATATTCCATTATTTCATTACAGTCTGGTATAACCCGAGGATATCTGGATAAACCCTGTCTGGATCCCTACGAATCTGAGTGCCCAAGATCTGCACCTAATAAAGCCGCCAGAACGGTTAGTATCGCAATTTCTTCCCCCAAAAAGAAACACAATGTTTATGTTTTAAAAATGTATAAATCCTTGAAGTTGAACATTAAATGAGATCTTTCATTAGGTCCCGGATATTGGTGCTACTTTGACCGGGGGATGTTCCGGGATTTCTACTAAGTACATGCATTGGAGTGAAGACCTTATAGTGGGAGGGGTGCGGAAAAATAGAACTGGGCACATAGTCCGGTAGGTAAACTACTGACTAGTTTTCAAGAAAAGACTTATGTATTATTTATGTTGTGTTATGGAATTCAGTATTTATGAAATATACAAGCGTAAAATTACAGAATATTCAATTCAAATTACAGAGGTGAAGCTTTGCAATCCATTATTCAACTGATGGCAGAGCAGGAGATGTACCAGTATTGGTCAGAACATTGGAAGACACACAGTATTGGTTGGTCACTGGAAAAAGCTAGAGCCATATTGCAGGCCTGGCAGCGGAAGTTCACCGAGGTCGTGAATAACGCTCAAAACGGCACCAAAGGAGACGAAATTTACGGATTTTCTTCCGTATCTCTTGCAGACATTATGAAAGAATTTTCTAGTCTCAGTCCAACAAGAGTTGCTTTAGGATACGTCCTAATGGTACGGTTTTCATTTTAAACAATACTAAAAACAACCAGCGGTATATTTTTGAAATACCATAATCATTCTTTTATTTTAAAAAAAATCACCAATGTTTTGTCCCTAGACATCAACTAGTATTTTATACACTCCCCCTCTGAAGAGTGTTCAAATATTATAAATGGAGCTATAAGTAAGCGTTTGCTTTCTTTTTCTAGGTAATTTACGCGTGTATCTCTCTGATGAGGTGGAATAACGGGGTCCAGTCACAGAGTGGGGTGGGCGTGGCAGGGGTCCTCCTTGTAGCTCTCTCCGTGGCAGCCGGACTTGGAGTCTGCGCAGTACTAGGAATCAGTTTCAATGCCGCTACTACACAAGTAAGTGAAATATGCAGTCTTGTATTAGATTTCAGGCATTTTACTTGCTGATAATGTAATATGGCTAGATGTTGCCTTAAATGATCGGTAAATACTGCAGTTGGAGAACTTGGCCACTTAGGCTTGAAATCGAACCTCTCCTTGGAGAGTTTATTTAGATGGTATGAATTCTCCTCAAAGCTTTCCGATCCCTCTTTTAAGTGGCCATAATCAAATCGACATAATATCCATCATATTTGATCTCCTTACAATGGTTTACATTGAGGTAGGAAGAATTTGATTTGACGGGGAGAACAGTTTAGCTATAAAATGAAAGCAGAATGTTGAGCCGCTTCAGGCCACCCATATAATATAAACATTGGGAGCTGTGATGTATTAAATTTCTCACGTGTTTATATTTTCTTCAACTGCAGGAAATACCGATGGCATAAACATTCGAACAGTTAAAGCGGATTTCTAAGACACATAAAAGAATGTCGATTTTCCTTTCAGATCATTCCTTTCTTGGCACTGGGTTTGGGAGTGGATGACATCTTTTTAATGGCACATACCTATGGAGAGAACTCGGCCAACAAACATATAGCATTCAATGTAAGGCTTGCCCTGACTAAATAAAATACTTTCACTTAAAAACTGAAGACATTAAGCCTGTTTTATGTACATGTCAAGAAAAATAAATGTGCTGGTCAGTCAGTGATTTAGGGTCTACCGATGTTTCCCGCCTCTATTTTTCAGGACCAGACGGCCGAATGTCTGAAGAGGACAGGTGTATCAGTGTTCCTGACATCAGTGACGAATATGCTAGCTTTCCTCTCCGCATCCATCATTCCCATCCCCGCACTCCGAGCTTTCTCATTACAGGTAGATACAAAACACAACAACAACAATAAAATCCATTGTCTTGTTTGTCCCGCAGTTGACATGAATAAATTCTTTTTCCTTCTACAACTTGTTGAAATATTTCTTTTTTCAGGCATCAATTCTCATCTTCTTCAATTTGTTCAGTGTCCTATTGATATATCCAGCCATATGTAGCATTGACTTGTACAGGAAAGATGATAGAAGAATTGATATCTTCTGTTGCTTTCAAAGGTGCGTTTAACTCCGTTCGCCCCGTTCACACATATAATATACCAAGAAAAAGTATCAAATTCATCCCAACTATGATAAACTATTTACATTAAAGGTGACTTTTTACATTTCTTCAGTTTTGCGGATACCAAAGACACAGTAATAGAACTTCAACCCAAGCAAAGTGATCTGTACGACCTGAAGGAACCCAGTCCCCCTCCTAGCTACAATGATTCTCTTCCCCCAAGCTACAGTTCTGTGGTCAAACATAACACGGTGGCGCGCTCAGCCGAGGAGGGTGGTTCCGCCGTGACCTCTTTGGCCAGACCCTCAATAATTGACCTTCCGCCATCAGTGGGAATTTTTTCGTGCCGTCCTCGCTCACTTTCGGCTGGTAAATGGGGTTTAAATATTTTCGTCTCTATTAAAATATTACAATTAAACAATGACGTGATGAAAAAAGTTTTTATATCCTTTAACCTGTTATCTGTTAATCCTTTTATCTACCTCACCGCAACTCAAGTCAAAAACGTTTAAGTTCGCTTGACGTTACATTCAAACTTTGTGCAGTGTTAAAGCATTTTGAAAAGAAAAGTGTCCTATTTCAATCAAATTGATTAGAAAATTTAATTATGAGGCATCCAAGTTTTAACAATTACCCCCAAGTTATACTTGTATAACCTAGGTCGAAAAAGATTTTGCCTATAAACCGTTTCGCGGTTTTAAACTATAAACTGCTCCTACTAAAAGTATATAGTGTTTCACGGTGTCAGTTAAACTCATGTCTTATATGTTCATACATCTGCAGGGTCTTACTTTCTTTTATTAATATTTCAGTTTGCCCTTCCACCACGTCATCACGGCAGTGTTTGACGGCTCCAGAACATATATCATGTGCAGAGCGCTTTGCTAGATTCCAAAGACATTTACTTAATTCAAGTTTGGACACTTTTGCTAGAAATGTGTATGGTCCTTTCATTAAAAAGGCATACGTAAAAGTAAGTTTTGTACCTTATAATAAAATTTCAAATCTATCTTTTGAAAAAGTATCCCGAAATTCGAAACTTTCAACAATTACCTATAATTTTGTTTCTTTACAGGTATTTTCCATTCTTGGATTTATAATTTTATTGTGTGTGAGTGCATATGGAATTGTGCATGTGAAGAACGGTCTAGATTTGACCGAAATTGTGCCAAAACATACTCCCGAGTATAACTTCTTGACAGCTCAGTCGAAATACTTCGGCTTCTTTAATATATACCTTGTTACCAAAAGTGGGGTAGATTACCCGAACAATCAGAGACTACTGACGCAGTACCACCGTTCTTTTCAAACTGTGGATAAAATTATAAAGAGAGAGGATGGTTCCTTGCCGAACTTCTGGTTAGACCTCTTCAAACAGTGGTTACAAGGTGGGTGGAAATAGTTGTCATATTCTCAATAGCAAACATGCATTTCTACTTTGTATATTATTCATAGGTATGCCGTTTTTATCTTGTGATATAAATGTGTTGCTTGCCTTGGTATACAAATTTGTCATCCTCTTGTTTTCTGTGAAATATATTCGATGTGTTTTTTTTAAAAATTGACAGCTGAGAAAACGTTAACACCTGGCCAATTCATGAAAAAATCCTAAGATTAGAGAAAAGTCTTGTACAATGTTTTACCTGTGAGGCAATGTTATTTATATGATTCAGTGCATGTTTTTTGCATGTTCTCTTTTGTAAAAACATCATTCTATCGAGAGGCTACGACGTTTAAACAGAGAACACTCATTTCCTCTTTTTTGCATCTAAGTGAATACATGTTAACATTTTTAGTCCGACTTTGTTAATTGATTGATGTTTTATAAAACAGACCTCCAAAGATCTTTCGACACAGAATATGCGGAAGGCCGAGTAACACAACAGGACTGGAAGGCGAATGCTTCAGACAGCGCTATCCTCGCCTACAAATTATTAATCCAAACAGGGGATGTGGACAACCCCATAGACAAAAGCAGAGTATGCATTGAAAAAAATCCTTCACTTGTATTTGAAGAACAGCTAATTGATACCTTTTATCTTTCTTATTACACGTTCGTTTTCTGTAGATCCCTAATACTAAGCTGGTGGATTCGGAGGGAATAATTTCTCCAGATGCGTTTTATAATTACCTGACTGCCTGGGTATCAAACGACGCCATGGCATACGCTTCTTCACAGGCCAACTTTCATCCAGAACCAAAAATCTGGTTGCACGATGCTCAAGATCGTGATTTTAAAGGTAACACCCGAAAAACAAGCCTTCAACAATTAAGTTGTCAGTGAAATTCAGTCAGGAAGTTTTACAGAAAACAAATCACTACATAAGAATGTCTGAATCACTTTCAGTGCCTAAAGCCCAGCCACTAACTTACACACAACTCGCCTTCTATCTGAGTGACCAGACCACTACTGATGTCGTACTGGACACCATTAAGGTAAAGAACAATAAGAACAGCAACAAATTTCTGTGTGACTTGAAACTTGTTAAAACAACTGGAGTGCACATCTCATTCTAAAATAAATAACGTTCCTGTGTAAAGAGGTTAAGTATTCAAACATGTTAACTATATACATCTTTGCACTACATTGAGTGCATCAATTTTCACCAATATCTACATCATATGAAAATAAAGTCTTTTTTATACGAAGTTGATCTTGGTTGTAATTGCAGGCAATTCGAGATATCTGTGACACCTACACAGACAGAGGACTTCCCAACTATCCCAGTGGAACCCCGTTCACATTCTGGGAACAGTATATCAACCTCCGCTTCTACCTCAGTTTGTCCCTGCTCTGTGTTCTAATCGTCACCTTCGTGGTTCTCACCTTAGTGTTGTTAAATCCATGGCTGGCCAGTATTGTGGTAAGTATCCTTATAACAAAAATTTGTCACTGTTCTCCCCACTCTATAACTGATTTAGATAGAACATTGTCCCGTTTTTAATTTTCGACACTCTACAATTAGTGGGGATTTGCTGAGTGACCATGTTGTAAGTATTTTGTTTTTTGTTGGTAGGTTGTGGTCCTAGGTCTGATTGTGGTGGAGCTGTTCGGCTTTATGGGATTGTCGGACATCCGCCTCAGTGCTGTTCCCGCCGTTATTCTAATCGTCAGTGTGGGGATCGGAGTAGAATTCACCGTCCACATCTCTGTGGTAAGAGATAGTCTTAAATCCTTTACATTGAAATATAAGATAGAAATTTCCATTTTCCTGGTATTTTTCTGTATGAATTCTTCCCTAAATAATTTTCTGGCGATTCAAATTTATTATAAGAAATTCTTTTTTGATATTTTACAGGGATTTTTGACAGCCATTGGTTCCCGAAATAAGCGTATGACGATGTCATTGGAACATATGTTCGCACCTGTTGTTCACGGGGCGATTTCGACTCTCCTGGGCATCGTCATGTTGGTGGGGGCTGAGTTTCAGTTTGTCGTGAAGTAAGTATTAAACACCTTACATCCTATATTGCTATTAATGGGGTATGAATGAGTAATGTCAGGTGCCTGTGTGAAAGCTTGTAATCAGTGTTTATTGTATGGACATCTGTTATTTACCTATAAGCTGAAAAATACTTTCATTTGCATGCTTCAAACATTCAGTTTATATTAACTAATTTGCTCATTAACTCGCCAATAAAAGAACAAAATATAAGTATGCTAATTTTGTTAGGATAAGAAATGTTGTTTTGGATTTTGAAAGTCATTAAATCTGATAGAACTGGCATTGAACTCCATTCACAATTTAATACACTCATACCAAATAACCATGTTTCAAAGTCGCGTGACAAAGCAAAAAAGAAAAAAAAAGATTGCTATCTTACAGTTAAAGGGAAAATATGCCTATTGGGTGGGGCTTAGTAAAATCAAATCGTACGGAAAAAATCTATATTTAACCGATATCGAATTCTCACTCGGGTCTTAAATCGCTATTTTCTTTAATATAAACATTAAAAATTAAGTCACATGTCAAATACATGCTGCACTTTCGCTTCAGTATGAAAGAATTCCAAAGGAATATTACAATGAAGAAAGACCGCTGTTATGTTATTTGATACAAATGATCTGCTTTTTCTGTGCTCTGATGTCAGCAAAAAATACAAAGCTCGGTAGGTTACACTGGGGGCGACCCAGGGTTATCCCACGACTTGGACAACAGTAAAAAAAAAAAAAGAAAGTATGCAATTAAGAACGTCTGTTTCATTACAACAAACAGATATAAACACTAGATAGACAAATGTATACTAATAATTTTTATATACGAGATTGATATTGATGGAAGCCATTAAAGTCACGTGGTTTGGCTCAAGGTAAATGACGATGATGGGCGGACCACCCATCTAGGCAATCTATTGACCGTAACCTCGGTACACAAGACGGTGCTAATCCCGCGAATAAACACGATTCTCGGTCTCCGTCGAGGCCTCTCCCCTCCCGGGATCACTCTGATCAATTTTCACGCGGTAAGAAGCCTCCCCTTGAGTACCTCTTATCTTCATCTGGCCCACACGCGCGGCCACCGCCGTTCTTCCAATTACGTCTTCATTAAAGCGGAAATCGAGCACATAAATAAAATGGAAATTGGCTTAACAGAATGTAGTAAAAGTAGGCGATTTGGACGGAGATCCTTTACCAGACACCACTCACACAAACCAACACATAAAATAAGAATCATCAAAAAGATGGAAAGGTTTCTTGGGGAGCGGATCTTAAATAATGTCCGGTTAATAAATCTTTATTGTTTATGAAGTGGATCATAAATGAAAATTCCAGCTTTAATGGTCGGGGCTATTTCGTCCGAGATAATAAGAAATCTGAATTGCATTGTCACTGATTTGTAATATTTTCTCTATATCTCGCCAAATGCCGGGTGGTCTTCTCAATCGAACTGTTTACATCGGCCATACTGACGCAATGAGAACAGCGGTTCAGTGGGAAACGCGCCCCTGATCGAGTTATGAATGGAACTTCATTATCTAATGCACATTTAAATCGGCTGCCGATAGCCACGCTGGGTGGTCCTATTTAACGTCTATTGATTATCAAGTCTTTACCTGAACATGACAAGAATGTTTAACATCATGTTATTTTTTTTCTCTCTTTGAGAGAAAGTGCAGAAATCTTTTAATATGATATTTCCCACAATGCATCAAAGCTGTTTTATGTCCCGCGAAATTTAAATATTATCATTTGATAAGACTTGAGGTTTCTCTAGAAAAAAAAATGATTTTAAATAAATTTTCTGAAAAAAAAAGGATTATTCGCAAAAAACTTTTTAAATATGTTTCTACTTATATTCCATAATACTAAAAATTACCATAATAATTAAATAATGATGAAAGAAAACTTGTACAGTATCAGCTTTGATTACTAATAAAGGGTATTTAAGTGATGATCCATCTTTAAGCAGTTGTTAGTCTGTCCTCTCCTAACCGACTGACAATAAAGGGCCTGACTTAAAACGTGTTTAAATCTCAAGGAAACAACTCTTTGTTTTTTTCATTCCGAAGTTTTAATACCCCCCAAAAAATATTTAAACTCCAAGTGGAAATTCAATTCAAAAAATAACGTTCCTATCACTCCAATTTTTTCATCAGAGTCTGAAGAGAGCAAACGAATATTTTATTAAAGATAGCCTTGCTAGTCAATTTAATTTGCAAATGAAGTAATTTAACTTCTACTAACAATCTGTTTCTGGGCCTGATATTTTGTTAATTAATTATTTGTACCTACCTGTTACAGGTATTTCTTTAATGTGTTGGCGGCGCTGATTGTTATTGGCCTCATCAATGGATTGCTTTTCCTTCCGATCCTTCTGTCGCTCTTCGGTCCAAAGGCAGAGGTAAATCCTTACAATAAAATTAAATTTAATAAAATTATATAGTATTTAAAAATACATTATGTTTTATGAAGTTTTTTTGAAACCATAAGACAATCTGTTCTTAAGAAAGCAAAATTTACGTTTTTGTTCTATTTAAGTACGCGTCATGCAATAACTTTAATTCAATAACTGTTATGATGCCGTCTGAAGAAAAAAATGCTCATAACTTCAGGTCCCAACTTTTTCTGTTATTCTTCAATAGATTAGGCCTAAGAATGATGAGGATAGAATCCCAACCCCTTCGCCAGAACCTTCCCCAAAACCTAAAAAGAAATCGTCTTCCTCATCTTCACGGTCCCGAGGACACGGTCGACCTTTCCGGATCCCCTCGGATATATCCCTAACCACCATCACAGAGGAACCCACCCAATACTCTTCACATGAGATTGTTGTAGAGCCGGAAGTGGTTGTGGAGACCACTACTGTGCCAACCAAACAGAGTGATTCTGTCCCGAGCAGCGGCGAAAACAGCCGATGTTCAACACCGCCCCCTACCGTAGTTACAACCACACCCCAAACTCATCACGTGACCCGAGTCAAGGCCACAGCGACAGTTAAAGTAGAAGTCCACACACCAATTCCAGGTGGGTACCAGGCTGCACTTTTAATTACTTCAACTCTCCCTCAAACATAAAGATAAGGAATGAAAGAATAACTTCATGTTTCTTAAGCATTTTGCTTCCTTAAGTATGTTCAAAGTTTTTCAAAAGAAAAAAGGGGGTTAGACTTTTTCCAACACAAAATTGTGGTTTTATACCACTCCCGTTCTAAAAAAAACTGGTTGCAACAAGAATTTAAATTTTTCATTGTTTTGGGTAGGTTCAGTAGAGAGTGTGAATCACGACCACGTATACAAAAGCAAAAGACGGAAGAACAAAGAGACAGAGACTCCAGAATCGGATTCCAGTTCAAAGTCCTAGCATGTAAGTCACCGCTGCCTGTTTAGCGTCTTCTATTTTACGTTCACTTGAAATCCAAATTTGAATCTTATTATAGAAAAGAGTAACAATCATAACAATCTGACATTTTTAAATTGATTTTATCAATATTACTGTAAGAACAAAGTAAAACGTTTCCTTTTACGGTAGTATTTAAATCCTGGCTATTTCTACGTTTGTTTGTCTGTGTTGTATGTATTGTCTAACGTTGCTGTTCTTTCTTGTAGGAGGCCAGTACCATGTCTACATTACAGTATTTCCAGTCGTTAGCGACAACAGTATTTCATGTGGTGTTCTATTTTTGGTTGTGATGAAGTCACGTGACTCCAGTGTTGAACGGCGTTTAACGTCAAACGTAACGTGTGTTCAGGACGTTTTATCTACAATGTGCTACAAAGAACGTTCAAATGTTAAGGAATACATGGTGTTTTTATTGTCTAAGAAACTGCTCACTTACGGGTATTTTTTCTTCTTGAACTTCATGTTGACTAGGTTGAGTGGTATGTGCGATTGAGACCTCATTAGTGTGCAGTGTGAGAGAGGAATGACTGTATTTATTAGTGTTCAAACGTGAAATGTGTGCACCTGTTGAGTGATGTGTGTTCAACATCCGGCCAAAAGACCCGGGGACTTCCGGTCACGTGTCGAACGTTGTTAACTGTTACATATCAGGCTGAATGGTGAACATATCATTGTTGAAGGTGTTTTATTTGCATTAGTGTATACAGTTTGTGATATAGCTTGTTAAACCAAAGAAATTTGTATGTAAGTATTACCTCGCCGTCATCTTTGATGGAGCGGCACTTCACAGAGCGTTCAAACAACGCGTCTGTCACTGCATTAGATTGTTGAAATATCTCAGGTTTATTTATATAACAGATATGTGCGAGGACTTTTTTCTTAAAGCCAGTCAAAGTTAAATTCATTTCTGGTTTGCCAATATTTTATATATATTTTGTACAATGTCAAAAGATTGTTTTGCTGTTGTTTCCATGACGATATCTTGCTATGGATTTGGTGAAATCCTAAATTATCCAGCATTAACTTTTTTTGTAAGGGGCGCCCACTCTGGTGGAGTAGGCGCTTCATCCGCCCCGCCCCCTTGTTGTTGGCATTTAGTTTGAATATGAGACATACCTCAGTAGAGGGGTCGGGGTCGGGTCATCACCTGTGATAGGCCGAGTCACTCGGCATTATAGTCTGACTTAGGTCGACTTATTCACATTAAGTCAATAAAATTCATGTCTTTCTTAATATGGATTTCTCTTCTTATTCATTCATGGGTATCTAAAACCAAACAAATGAGTGTGAACAGTTCATTTTATGGACAATCATTGAAGATCTTTTGATGAAAAGGATAGCCAATGCACGTAAACAACGTTTAAAAACAGATGACTTTATCAATCAATGTTTAAGGGCAGCTGATTTTATCAAACATAGCTTGAAACTTGATAGGGTTCAAATGCAGATTAAAGAAGTAAATAATGAGATTAAAAAATTAATCAGCATGTGATGTATATATTTTGTAAAATGAAATATATAGAGATGACGAACAGTATTCAAAATCGAAAGTCCAAAAAAAAAAAAAAATAGTAGCAGAGCAAACATGGACCTCCGAAATACCAGAGGTGGGATCAGATGCCATCGAGGAGTGATGAAACATTATCACATGTGGAGATAATTTCAGTTAACGAACAGTATTGAAGATGAAAAGTCCATTAAACAATACAAAACAGGAGCAGAGCAAACATGGACCTCCAAAACATCAGAGGTGGGATCAGATGCCATGGAGGGATGAGCATCCCCTGCCGACCTACCGTGTGCTCCTCGTCATGATCGGGAAATAACAGAAAAATCCGCCATCAATTCAGTGTATTCATGTCATTGATTGCGTAACAATAAGCATGAAAAACGTCAGCCAGCATTTGAATCAATGATAAATTGCTGACAAGGTCATTTTATCGACCATAGAACTTACAGAATGATGACTTTTAACAAGACTTCTGATATTCTTGTTTCATCAATTTGTTTGTCAATAATTCACCTCCGACGTTTTAGAGATTGTACAATGTACAAACGTAGATGTGATATGAAGAGGTCATGAAATATAAATTGAAAAAAAAAATCAACGAATATAGTTAAGAACTGTGAATTCAACTGAAAATTACTGAATGAAATATATGGTGATGACAAACAGTATTCAAGCTAAAAAGCATATTCAGACAATGCAGGTCAGGAACAGAGCACACTTGGACCTCTAAATCATCAGAGGTGGGATCAGGTACCATGAAGGAGTAAGCATCTACTTTCGACCGGTCAAACCCGCCGTGTGCTCCTTGGCACGATCGGAAAACAAACAGGAAAATTCGTGGACAAATTCGGTGTAGGATATGATGATAACGAACAGTATAAATTCAGTGTGTACAAAATATAATTATATGGAACATCAGAGGTGGGATCAGGTGCCATGGAGGAGTGAGCATCCCCTGCTGACCGGTCACACCCGCCGTGTACTCCTTGTCACAATCAGGAAATAACGGAAAAAATCCGTCGTCAATTCAGTGTGTAAATAATTAAATTATATGTTTCTTACAAAAAAGTAAGAAAAAACGTAAATCAGCGAATAATTATGATTAACTTACAGATTTTTATTCTTCTACCACACACTAAAATATTTAAAAATTCTGAAATGTTTGATCTGAAACAGTTATCACTATATCAACGCAATGACAAAAATGTTTATTTTTAAATTTACAATGAAATCAATATTCAAATGCACTATATTGACAAGCGCTACTGTGAACGAGCTTAAAATTTATACCACTTTATGACATGTACCGTGCAAAGTTTCTTGGTTGGAGGTAAAGACGATGAACATTTATCACGCGCATGTCAACAATTTCTACCACTGACCTTGAACTTGCCCAATAAAGTCGGGACAAGGTCATACCACACTCCAACCCAGCTTCCAATGTTTCTCCAATGCGAGATTTGATCAGGGCAACCTTAACAACATTTTCTCCAAATATGATCATTTAAAATGACTTTGGTCAAGGGTTTCACACTCTCTCACGTTTTGTGTAATCTGTATGTGTGTTAATTACAAACTACCTATATAATTCATTCGTTTGAAACTTGAAAGTTTCAACCACTTGGAACTTCGAATAAAACAAAGTTCATGTTTTGTTCTAAAATTGTTGTGTATCAGTATGTAGTTTGTCTATCACAATGCAGGATGTAAAGGCTGCCCCTTTGGTAGAGAAATGCGAAAAGATGTTTGACAGTAGAGACCTCGGTGTCGGATAGAAACAACAAATAACCATAGAAAGTAGATGTCTGATCTCAAGGACGAAAGCTTTCAGTGACAGAAATAAAAATTCCTTAAAAAGAAAGATAACTCAAACAACAAACTCAAAAAAAATCTCTTGCAATAAATTAAATTTTCTTCTGAAGTCCTATAGTCAAAGCACTTGACTCGTGTTTTGTAACTCATAACAAAGGTGCTCATTTTCTGAAAAGATATACTAAGTATATGTAATTGATCCCAAATTCAAAAGGAAATAATAAAGATTTGAAAATAAAAAAGAAATTTTCACTTAATTATTTTTTGAAAATATCAAAAAATTGTCCTGTCTTCCTAAAGTTACATGGATGAAATATGTTTGAATTGATTTAATAATATTTTATTGAACACAATCAATGGGACTGAACACAAATAATACCAACTTAGATTGTCCTCTCCAACACAAACAAAATAACAAAATTATGTACATGTGATGCACAAACAACAGATATACAATAAATTTATATAAAAAAAATAAGAAGAAGGACGAGGGTGCAGAGAAATAAGGAAGGGAATGGGAATGCAAGGAAAGAAAAAGGAATGATGAGGTTGTAAAAGATACATGTAGAATTGTTATGCTGGTTATTCATAAAATCTTTTTAATTTTTTAATATATTTTTGTACAGCTTTAACAATATTGATTTTATTTTGAGGACCCAAATTTGGGTCCCTTAGGTAAGATAATGTCAAGGTCTATTGCTCCTTTGTTATTTTGTTCAGTGTGGAAAAATTATGTTCTAATTTCAGCATAAATTTTACAGTACAAGAAGAAGTGTTCAGTGTTTTCATTAATATATATCCACAGGAACACTGCGTGTTATCTGAAAGTCTAACCTTAAATAAATATGAATCCAAGGATACTTACATTGTCTCGTTCTTGTTATTTTTATATATTACATAACCACCAATGCTGCATTCAAATGACATTCTAAAACATCAGAGGTGTGATCAGTTACCAAATCGCGCTCTCTTGGTCGCTTGTTCAACTATAGCCGCTGAGTGCTGGATTTCTAGATATTTTGTATGGACAGCTTAGTACAGCTATGCATCTAAGTCAACTAACCGCAAAATTTTGGACCGGTTGAAAAGCTGCCAGCTGTCAACTATCTCATTTAGCATTAAGCAATGTGCTGTAGATGTTTTAGATGTTTAGCGTTCTTTTGCAAAGACAACTCAATTCACAACATTTAAGATAAGGTTTGTTTTCATGGGAAAAAACTCAGTTTGCAGGGAATATCAATGATCTTTTATCATCCAATACGGCCAATGCATGGTTCTGGGTCTCTAGACATGCTTCATTTTTTAAAACTAAATCATGTAAATTGTGGATTGACTTATTAAAATAAGAACGTTATCTAGTGTGCAGTGATTGGTAAGAGAATTCAATCAATTCACGACAATTAAGGTGGTCTATAGCCTGTTTCTTACCTTGTTGGCGCTAAATGCTTGCCACGTGCTTCCAACCGCACGAGCTTTATGTCTCAACTTCTGCTGATGACGTTACGGAGTTGACTAATACCCCAAAAGTACCCTGTAGTACCTGAACATAAGAAATATTTTTTTTTCTAGAGATCCATATTGACTCCTATTTATTAAATTCATGTGTACATTTTTTGCAAATTTATCCCCTTTGTTTTATTAGAGTGTACGGAATATTATCATGGAACAGTTGTGAAAATGGGACATGTATACATATATCTACAATCATGTACAATATCTGTCATTTGTGAGTGTTTTTTTATCATTTTTATGAACCTAAATTGAATTTATTGCTTTATTTCTTGTCTTTTACAGAAAAATCATTGCTCCATGTCGCATAAGGTGGTTCCAAAGCATTAAAATTTCCTAAAGCTCGAAAAATCTCCCTCCTGTTAATTATTATTATTTTTTTAATGAGAAATGAAATTATTTTTGGGCAAGAGAAATAAATGTATTTCGACGTTAAATTTTCGACTTGCAAGCATTGTCGTTTATTTCTTTGTTATTTAATCAAACATTATTCATTAATCTGAAAATGGTGCTCCAATTTACGTACAACTTAACTTTACAATTTCGAATCTTGGGATTATGGGTGCTTAACATTGCGGGAGATTCAGCATGCGTTTAAAGAATATTGTTGACGCTTAGATATATTACTTTGCATGCATGGGAAAGCCGGTTTTATTTTTGCGGAGTAGAATTGTAAAATCATCTTTCTACACTCTCAGAGTATTTTATCGTCAGTACACGAACCCTTTCGCAAACATCATGTCGACACCGAAAGACAACAAACTGATATGGAAGCTGACACCCGACATTATAAAGAAATCAGCTGACGAGCTGATGGCGAAAACAAAAGCTGTTTACGACGGTGTGGGGGCCCTTTCTCCAGACGCTGTCACCTACACTAATGTTGTAAAGGTATTTACATTCAGTAAATTCAATGTAAAAGCTTATGCAATATATATGTGTGTAGGCGGATCTTATGGGTGCGTGTCCTAGGAAATTCGGATGACATGATTACGAATAGTGTGCTCTTTTTTTTTTAAATATTGTTAAATTTAGATTTTTTTTGTAGGCTCTCGCTGACAATGATTGTGAATATGCTGTTGTGAGGAACAACCTGGACTTTATGCAGCATGTTTCTGCTGATAAAGAGCTGAGAGATGCCAGCGTGGAAATTGACAAGAAAGTCTCAGAGTTTGATGTGGAAATGAGGTTCGTCAGATTGAATTTACACCTTATCATCCTAGTACTTTACAAGGAAGTATTAAGATGAGAAATTTAGTTAGTAGTGTGTTACATCTCAATAAAATCAGGGCTAGACAAATAGCACTGCCCGACGCCCGGGACAACCAGTTTTGGTTGGTGGGCAAGTAATTTGATAACAGCACTCGGATTTCCTCGGATGACTCGTACCTCGCACATAACCTCGGACGTCAACGGTGATCTACCATCTTGCTGATTCAGTCATGTGATCTTAGTTGAATTTCTTTCAAATGTCATACATTTGAAATCGGAGTTATTTTGTGGTACACACAACAGTTTTTTCTTGCTTTCAAAGCCTATTAACATGAGGATGAATCAAAACCTGTTTACGATAAAGAATTTCACAAATTAAGAAACATTTTTTGAAGAACGTTATGCAGAGCGAAATATGAAATGAGTGATAAGGCAGTTTCCGGCGGAGAAATGTAAGGATCTGTTGCATATTCCTCCACCAATCACATCCGAGGTTTGAATGGAGCGTAGCGGAGTCAGCCGAGGATTGCCGATTGTGATAACAGCTGCCTGTCCGCGGACAAGTTGTTTTTCAATTAACAAAAAAGAAATTATGTACAATACTCAAATATTTTTTTATGTTATTGCTTTTAAAGTATCATGAATCATAGCAAAACACCGGTTTTCACTGCTGTTGACCACTGCATCAGCTGTACATACGTACATCGAATAGTCGGAACTCCTCTAGAATTTACCCGTTAACGTGTGATGAAAAAATGTAGATGTCGTAAAACATGGAGTTATCGATGTCGTCAAAAACGTGGTGTGGGAATCTTGACATTTATTGTCAAAATATTTAATTCATGCTTTGAATACAGATGATAGTGGTTTTAAAATTGTTGTTGATTGGTGTTCCCTGGCAATCACACAGCATGCAGTAGTGTTTTGTTCTCAGACTCGTTTTGTTTGTAGGTTTTATCATATTGATCAGTGTCCGATATCTTCACCTTTTTCCACGAAATAAACACAACATTACTTTTTTTAAAAAGTGAATTTTATTGCAGAATTTTGAGGAAGAATACTCCTTAAAATTAAACATTTTCCTCTAAATTTATCTGTGGAAGAATTTCGTGATTTAATTTAGAACTTTGATGGTCTTCGTGTATAGTTTAGGTGTCTCACTCAAGAAATAATTTAATATCAATGCTTCAATTCTGTGTAATTTAAGAAAAAGGTGGGACAAGCATATTTTTTGGTAGGACAAGTAGTTTTATGATGGTAACCTGTCCGAGGGCAAGTACTGAAAAATTCTATTTGTCTACCCCTGATAAAATGATTTTTTTTTATTTGGCAGCATGAGACAAGATGTGTTTGATGCATTGGTTAATTTTGAGAAGAAATCTTCAAATGAAGGCTCAGCAGAATCAAAAAGATATGTGGAAAGAATGATCAAACTCGGCAGGAGAAATGGTAAATAAATGTAGCTAAAAAAATACAGACTTTGTTATCAATGTTTTCAGTTTTGATTAGATTTCAATATGTGTATATTTCATCATGATACAATTTGATGTTTGATATCAATGGTCCATATACATGTTAACTTCACAACTTCAGGATGACTAATTCTATCCATGGATGTAGAACCCCAAACAAATGTTTTAATGGTAACCTAAAAACAAAGTTTTAATTATGATGAAAGTGATTTAAATACTGACTGGTTCTGTATTTGTCCAGGTTTACATCTGCCAAAAGAGAAACAGGAGAAGATCAAGGAAATCAAGAAGAGAATGAGTGACCTGTCGATCGACTTCAGTAAAAATCTGAACGAGGAAAACACCATCCTCACATTCACCGAGGAGGAACTGGGTGAGAGAGTTATCTCCCCTCAAATCTCATTTTCTTCCCCTCTCTTTCTTTCTCTGAGTCTCTCTCTTTCTCTGAGTCCCCCTCTCTCTTCTTCTTTCTCTCTCTTTTTCTCTCTCACTTTTCTCCAACCTTGACCACTGTGACCTATTGCTATCTGTTTTTTGTTTGATTCCATAGGCCTCTTAATATTATGACTGTTAATTATTTTTTAATTCTTGTGGATCATCCATGCACTAGAAATTGCTATGAAATTCTTGGTTGAAAAATTAGCCATTGATTTTATTTGTTGAATGTATGAATGTAAAGAAAAAAAGTAATCATTGTTCTTACAATGCTATTATTAAACACAGATTTATATTTTACTGAGAACAGGAAGTAAACAGAAAGTCAAGGTCACCACAAACAAAATACCATTTGTGTGTTAGTTTTGTAAATCACAGACACACGTCATCTACTGTCCTCTTTAAATTACTCATATACTACAGTAAAGGTTTTCGTCAAGCTATGTTGCATTTTATTCATGCAATATATTATAGACAAGGAAATTTGTGATAGTCTGAACAATACTTCAACTTGAACCTATAAAACTTATCTATTTTGACTTCTGTCTTGTAATCAATTTATACAGCTAAAAGTACAGGCTTTGCTTATATCATTTTAGTTAACCACTTTAAGATATTGAAGATGTACATGTTGATAATTTTCAGAAAGAAAGGCTTTTTGTTGTAAGAAGAGAGACCTGACCATACATGTTAACTCTCCCGATTTAGGCGGGAGTCTACCGCTTTTTCACTCCATCTCCCGCCTACCGATTTAATTCAGAAATCTACCGCTTTTCTACAAAAGCTGCGTCTAAAGTATTTTTGGTTCGCTTGGGTATCCATTTTTGAAGCCACTCTCGTAAAATCTCGCTAGTTATCGCGTGATTTGACTCGGAATCATACAAACGCTTTTTTGGACATAGATTTCAAGCACGGATTTGACAACGACAACAACACAAGACTACCAGTGATTACATTGGTTACGATAAATTAATCAACATCCCTGCCATGAAAAAAGGAGATACAGCTTTTAAGAATTAGATAAAAACATAGATAAAAACCCTGACATCGTCTTTAAAAGCACAGAAGCTCACAACTTTATCAATTAAGTCAATAGAAATCACTCGTTTGACCAAGCCATGTGGCACATCTCTACTTTCGTTTTCGATCATCGCGGGAAATCCGATTTATTTAACGAAAGATAGAACTTGTTTTAGATCTAGATTAATCCATGTCATCATTTATTTTGTTTAAAAACTGAATGAACATTCAGAATTATTGCTTCTAGGCTATATCAGCAAACATCACTCTTCAAAAGGCTAAGTAAAGCAGCCAATCCAAGCAAAATGATGAGCATGAAAAATATTTGAATTTGTACAATTTATGTCAAACTTAAGGTGTTTCTGTCTTCTTCTTTGCTGTTGATATTTAAGATTAATTAGTGTAGGTACCTGATTTCATTTAAGGCTTGTAATATACATGTATATTACATGAATATATATCGATAATCCAATGTGTACGTTAAACAACATTCAGTTAGTGCTACCGCTTTTGAGGTCTGAATCTCCCTATTTTTCATCACAATAGGTTAACATGTATGGACCTGACTCTTACTGCTCATTTAATAATGGTCCTTGGCATGAGAAAAAAAAGTACTATAGATTTAAATTAAGATCCAGCCTGGCAAATGAATGAATACATTAACTTTTTTTATCATGTTTTGTTTTTGACAGCTGGTGTCCCTGAAGATTTCCTTAAATCTCTAGAGAAGGTAGGAATAGCTGTACACATATATATGGCTAAAATTGGCATACTAACAATCAAAGAGAAAATAAAATTGTTTTAACTCTTAGAGCAAATCAGTATCAGATTCTGATGACCATACATGTGCATTAATTTTTTTTTTATAAATATGAGTTAATCATTATTTCTATAGAATGAGGAGGGTAAACTGAAGGTATAATCCCTGAAGTACCCCCATTATTTTCCCTGTATATCAGTTTATCATTATTTCTATATAATGAGGAGGGTAAACTGAAGGTATCTCTGAAATATCCCTATTATTTCCCCTGTATACCAGTTTATTATTATTTCTATAGAATGAGGAGGGTAAACTAAAGGTGAGCTTGAAGTATCCCCATTATTTCCCCTGTATGAAGAAAGCCAGGAATCCTGACACGAGACGAAAACTGGAGACAGCATTCAACTCAAGGTACCTAACAGCTAAAAATGTCAATGTTCTGGTAAAGATACTTTAACAGTGCACAATTTTAAAATTCTGATCACAATCTTGACATACATGAACATTGAATATAGTTTAATAGAGTCATAAATAATTAAAAGCATAAAAAGAAAAGAAGATTTCCAGTGCATCATACTATTATTCAGAGCATAGAAATATATTCTGCTAATTTACTAGTCAGTCAGTCAAAACTGAGTCTTCTATTATATGCAAACAGTGCTTGTAGAATTTAGTGCAAGTATGAAAACATTGTGTATTCTTTTTGTTTCATTTACAGATGTCTCAAGGAAAACACAGCCATCTTAGAAGAGCTGATAGAGCTCAGAGCAAAGGTATGGGTAGAGTCACTTTCTTTAATACAGAATTCTCTTTGCTTTCAGCTCTTTGGTTGCTAGAATTTTGAAATTCTCTATTGCAGGAATTCAGTATTTACTAGGGATGGCAATTCGAAACTGGTTAATCGATTAATCGGTCAGAACGATGTTAATCGGTTAGAAAATCCGCAATCTGTTAGTCGGAAAAAATAAGATATTTGTAAATTTAAGCACAGTTTTTCAAAATTCCTTCTTTTTTTTTTAGAAAGGAAACCGCTGCATAAATGTTTATTTAGTGTTCATACACATCTTATACCGGTAATTAAGAATATTTGGAGATAATTATAGCTCTCCAGATTGAGATCGCAGGGATAATTGGTCAGTTTGTAAAGTGTTAATCATGATAATTATTACTGTTTTTAAAACATCATGCTGTTACCCAGATACATGTAGTCCAGTGATTTTTTAATGATATTAAAAAGATCAATGTTTAGCACTCTTGATTATATCATGTGTATATTTTGCTGTTGTCTATTAAATTATGTTACTAGAAAGAAAGTTGTAAATTGTGAATAAAGTGAGAGTTCAGACATAGTTTTGAGTATGGTGACAATCATCATCTCAAGCCACGGTCCGCAGTCTGCATATAGCTCTCTCCTACCCGTGGCTGCTTGACCACAAAAAGTGTTGTAATCTTGAATATTTACGCCTTTCTATTGTGACGTCATATTCATTCAATGACATGTTTTGTTTCCATCGCAATTGAAATCAACAATGTACATCAGCAGTATTTTGTACACTGCGATTGGATATTGAAAGGTCGCATGAAAGGTCAATTTCCGACTATGCTTTACTCGCATTGGTCAATACTCTAATGAGCTACGAGATATTCTCGTCTCATACAACAACATCCAGAATGGGAGAGGATTGTACATTATGGCCGTGGTTTGCGACGATGGGTGACAATGCTTCTTTAACTTCTTTTTACTTTTTTAACGTCTGTATTGGAAAATTATCCCTCTGATTTCTCAAACAGGATTCATGGTTTTCTAATTTTTTCTTGCTCGTGTATTGAAATTAAAATAAAATATACTCTTATGTACATTAAATTCTCTGATCAAAATAATAAACAGAGTGTAACTCCTAACGTCTTTTTTCAGCCTTCTTGTGTATATGATAAGAAATGTCAAAATGTATTTCTTGATATGACTAACCTGTTCATCAGTCGGAACGTTTTGCAGTTAACCGATTAGCAATTCTGCAATCGATTGCCAACCCTAGTATTTACATTTAAGTTATGTATAGAAAAAGAAACAAGCTCAGAATGTCTAGAGATAGCTGTAGCAAGAAACAAGAATGCATAACAGCATCATTCCTCAATAAAAGTTTTCTTGTGTGTTACCAACAGACATATTTCTCAAAATATATTTCACACAATTTTCTTATTAATATGATTAATTTGCTTCCCAGACTCTGAGGAGAATTCTTTAGTTACAATAATTTTTTCATGGCATCTTTACTCAGGAGGCACATTTATATTCCAGAAAGCTGACATTCTTGGTTTCCCTACCCACGCTGCCTTTGTGTTAGACATGAGAATGGCTAAAGATCCTGACACAGTGAAGAACTTCTTGGTTGACCTGGCTCAGAAGCTCCGCCCACTTCAGAACCAGGAAGTGAAAGTTTTCCTGGACTACAAGAAAGAAGAAGTAAGTTGATGTGCTGATGCCTTTAGATGTATTCTAAGAAAACATTGCATACTGAATCTAAGTTGTGAAAAGCTGTACATTAAGGCATTGAATTATTATTTTAATATTGAAAAATGATGGTGTTGATGAAAAATGCTTTATTAAAGGTAAAATTGTGTGTTATAATTAACTTTGAATTCGAAGATTTAAATCATATTGGTTTGCTGTTTTTTGGAAAACAACTTCAAATTTTAAAAAGCAAATTAAACTACCTGGTGTGATTGTGAACATCCTTCTTTGTGGTCAGAGCTCAAATAGGAAAATTCTGCATCTGAATTGGCCTCTTTTCAAAAAATTAAAGTGATAACATGTTTTTTAATCTATACTCCAATGTATCATTATTGAAATACATACATGTAGTTGTCATTGTTGAATAATGCATTTATTTAAGATTCATTCATTAAAAATACAATGCATTCTTTGAGAGTTAATGTTCTTTGTTTATTGATGGAGAAAGGTCTAAATTTGAATTGGAACACAGACTACTTATTTTATTTGTGACTTAATTTTTAAGTTTTAAATGCATTACCCGGTACTCCTAATGCCCTAGGATCATATCTATTTCATTGTTGTAGTGTGAGAAGTATGGATATGAATATGATGGGAAGATAAATTACTGGGACCTGCGATATTACATGACGATGACAGAGGAACGCCAGTACGCAGTGGACTCGAACCTTCTAAAGGAATACTTCCCCATGGAGACAGTGACTGCTGGACTTCTCGATATCTACCAGGTAAATCTTAATCAATAAACTGAAATCAATAAGTGTAAAATTAATAATTTTACAGCTTGGTGGTGGAATATTTACAGACAAAAATATTGCAGAAAAGTAATGAATAGAATTGTGAAACTATGTCTGATTTTTTTAGGAACTGTTGAATCTCAAATTTACACAAGTGAAAGATGCTGAGGTTTGGCACCCAGAGGTCACCTTGGTAAGTTATTCTTTTCTGTATGTAGAAATATAACTATGATGTAAGTATGTGCATGTAAGTTTGACACCTAGACATTTTCTTTATGATGTATCCTATCACAAATGTATAAACTGTACTAGATTAGAAAGTACAATGTACCTGTTAAACTTTATAAAATAATTCACGTCCCCAATCAATGGTAAAATGAAAAGAAATCTAAGTCACTACTAAAATTATAATGTGGAAAGTGGTTCATTAATTTGAATTATGCTCTATTGCAATCAATAAACAAAAGTAGTTTAAATTTATTAGGAATTCAGAATTGTTTGTTGCAAATGTGTTATAATATAGAATCTATTGTTAAAATTATTATGATATGAATGAATGAGATACATGTACATTTGTACATGAAGATGTTTCTGTCCAGTTTCTCTAACAATTAATTTTTTTTTAGTATACTGTAGAAGATAAAGAATCGTCTAACCTGCTGGGCTATTTTTATCTTGACCTTTATCCTCGGGAGGGGAAATACGGACACGCTGCTTGTTTTGGACTGCAGGTCAGTAACACATTCACGTTTTTAATTACTGAAATCGCCAGCAATTGTGTAAGGATATCTGGTAAATAATATTTTAAGTACATGTAGATGTATGTATGAAATACATCATTGATCATTACGACAGCCCGGGTGTCTACAACCTGATGGAAGGAGACAGGTTTCCGTGGCAGGAATGGTTGCCAACTTCACCAAACCAACAGAGGACAAACCAGCCCTGCTCACTCATGATGAGGTACCCAATGTTATTTCCAATTTGTTTACATTTGAAACATTGTTATTTCTTTGGCACATATTTAAAGAAGCAAATTTTAAAATACAGTTACTGTTTTGTTTTAATTTCAAACTCAACTTTTTGGGACGTACATGTTTTTAACGTTACTGATGTTTAAATCCAGGTAGAGACGTACTTCCATGAGTTTGGTCATGTGATGCATCAGATTTGTGCTCAGGCAGAATTCGCTTTGTTTAGGTAAGTTCTTTGTCCTTATATATGATAAAATGCACAATATGTCAACATGTTTTTTTTTGAAATTGTATTTTTGACAATTTATATTAAGACTTTAAGAATTTCGATTAAAATTATCAGCATTTAGCTAAAATAAATTGATGTCCCCATTCCCCATGTCATGATGTGGGTCCCCAATAATAATAACTTCATATGTCTAGTAGTCTTTCTGTCCACCAACACTTGTTTGATTGATTGATGGACAGAAGGACTAAGGATAGTACAATGTATCTATAAATTTTAAGGTTACTGGGTCAAAGATTATTGTCAAATGATTAGATTATTGATGTCACTATGGTGATAAAATAACTTGTATAGACTTCACAATACTTTCAATTTATAACTAAAGAAAAATTTTGCTTCATACCTGAACAATGGTAAAAAGATTCCACTTACATATTAGCATAAGTCTCAATTGAAAGTCAAGATCAAAATGAATTTTTTTTTCATTTGAACCACATTTATATTGGACATTTCTAGCAATTCTATGACCATATTTGAAAAGTTAAAAGTTAATTGATATTAGAGTGCCTTGAATATATACATATTGTTATTACTCTATGTCTATCCTTTTTTTTGCAGTTGTAAAATATTTACATGTATCTATGAATATATAAGTTATAGGTACCTCTGACGATTTAATATTAGTATATACTTAATGTTCCTCATATACCAAGCTGTATGGCTGGAGCAATATAAACTGTAAAATGAAGCCCTGTGTGATTTTACTACAAAATAAATTTTTTAAAAATTTATAATTTTTAAGGTACTATAAAAGTTAGAGGTAATTTTGATGCATATCATTTTATCGTCTTTGAATTATTTAAAGATAAAGTCTTGTGAATGACATGAATATTGTGCTTTTACTCTGTATTTATTATAGTGGAACCAGTGTAGAGAGAGATTTTGTGGAAGCCCCGTCACAGATGTTGGAGAATTGGTGCTGGGAGAAAGAACCGCTCCAGAGAATGTCTAAACACTATAAAACAGGGGCACCGATCCCCGACGATCTGTTAGAGAAGCTCATTAAGAGCCGCATCGCTAATGCTGGAATGTTTAACCTCCGCCAGATCTTACTGGGAATGTTTGACCAGACCATACACACTCAGAAAAAGGTTAAGTGTATAAAGTCTTAGAGATGACTTACTGTTTGTAAATCTTTAGATGTACATGCATGTTATCCTTCAGAAAGATATAGAGGTTATTGTGATAGTGCATTGACTGTTTTTGAGTTGAAAAGTTCAGCTTATTAATGAAAATTGTTTTATCTTTTTTGAAAATCTTATGAAACAGGAGATCTGAAGTAAAGACAACATTCATTCACATAATCTTATTTTTATTCATTTGTTTCAGGCTGAAATGGCAAAGCTTTTCTCTGAGATTTCACAAGAATACCTTAGATAAAATTATTTATTTGTTTATTTCAGGCTTACACAGCAAAGCTTTTCTCTGAGATCTCACAAGAGTACCTGTTATTTATTTATTTGTTTACTTGCTTATATGATTGTTTATTTATTTATTTCTTTGTTTGTTTGTTTCAATCTGATACTGCAAAACTTAGCTCTGAGATCTTAAAATAGTACCTGGGATTTAGTTGTTTGTTTTTTTATTTCAGGCTGACACGGCGAAGCTTTTCTCCGAGATTTCACAAGAATACCTTGGATTCCCCTCCACTGAGGGCACCAACATGTCCGCCTCCTTTGGTCATTTAGCGGGGGGATATGATGCTCAGTATTATGGATACATGGTAGGTCATCGGTATCAACATGCCATAGATTTTATAAGTCTCAGGCTTACCACTGAATAAACTAGAGGTACTGTGAGCAGTGAGCTCACTAGATCCCCCCCCCCCCCCCCCCCCCCCCCCCCCCCCCCCCCCCCCCCCCCCCCCCCCCCCCCCCCCCCCCCCCATAATGTCCATGTTTTGCCATATATTGTTTTATGGTAACATGTAAAGAGGATAACTCGTATTATCTACTGTAATTCAGAAGCCGCCATATCTCACATCATAGGTAAACATATAATGGCAATGTCCATGTTTTGCTATGGTAAACCTAAAATATGTGTCGGATCAAATATAAAATAGGAAGTGCACAATGGCAATATGTAATAAAGATTCTGTGAAAGTTTCATTAAATTTCACTCCATGGTATAAGTGGAGTTGCGGATAAGAGATGGGTAACCCAAAGCGCAATAGACAGACGGACGGACGTACAGCTAAACGGACGAACGGACATACTGATTACAGTATACCCTCCCACTTTTCAAGCGGGGAAGGGGAGGTATAATTACTCCTTGAGTACTTGAGGGGGGGGGGGGGGGGGGGCCTCCCATTATGGTTTTGCTATATATTGTTTTATGGTAACATGTAAAGAGGAACAATCTAGGTCTGTGTTGCTGTCAGTATATAAACTTAGACACTTTTGATATTTTTTTTCACGATGTGAAGAAGAGGTTTACTGACTTGATATGATTTTTTACTAATGTTAAATCTTCCGTATGTACTGATGTTTGACTGTTGATATTGTAGTGGAGAGAAGTATTTTGTATGGTCTGATGTTTGATATAATATTGTAGAGGAGTGAGGTATTTTGTATGTACTGATGTTTGACTCTTGATATTGTAGTGGAGTGAAGTATTCTGTATGGACATGTTCTACACTCGCTTCAAGAAGGAGGGCATAATGAGTCCAAAAGTGGGCGGGGATTACAGAAGATGTATATTACACCCAGGAGGATCCAAGGTAACAGGCTCTTAATGTTCTCACTTCTAGTCTGTAAACACCTCATTTAAAAAAATCCATCAGCAAAATAGACTGTGGGTTGTATATTGTAACCTGACTTACTCTTTTAGTTCATATTCCATGTTGGGTCATTTTACCAACTGGCAAAGTTAAAAATTTAATTCAAAAAGATGGTTATTATTTTATTGTAGTTAATTTTTAGCAATTTTAGGGAAAACTTTAATTTTTTTTGCTTATACAATATTTAGCGACACTTAATTTGATAACAATCATTGCTAATAATGCTAAAATTATATGTTTAGTTAATATTCCTATGTTATGTTATTGTTATTTAATAACTCTATACAGGATGCTTCGGACATGCTGCGTGACTTCCTGGGTCGTGACCCCACACCGGAAGCCTTCCTCATCAGCAAAGGTCTCAACCCAAAGGCGTGAAATCGGTCATTTATAAACAATTGTGATAAACAGAGATTACACCACTAACATTTAATTTCAACTTGAATAAAATCTTCGGTGTGCAAAACAGAATGTAGACAATAATTAACAAGTCAGTCAATGTAGGTTTGCTTAATTTATTCTTTATTACGAAAAAAAAGTATAAATAGTTGTGATGTATTTAGGTTGACATTTTTTGATGATTAATATAAATAATAACAAAGTACTGGCTTATGGAGATATGAAATAAAGCCTTATTTCAAATGTATTTATAGTAATTTTATATTATCATGTGCTGTCACAAATCTGGATGCAAAATGGGGAACCTGTCAAAAAAGAAGGACAGAGTCTGAAGTATCTGCCATGATGTCTTTTTGTCTGATATTAACTTTGAAGTCATTTCAATTACAATTCATTTTACAAAGTAAAGTACTGCAAGCACTGTTTTCACAAAATAATACCCCACCTCCACCCCAGTCTTATATGACTACATAGCAAAGTCATTTTTATTTTGCTATGGAAAATTCAAAAATATTTATGCACTCAAATGAGAGGTACACAATTCTACAGTTTTATTGATATTCTTTGAAAGTCTGATTAAATTTGACTCAGAAATAAAGGAGGAGTTGTAAAGAGTTGGGTATCCCTTATACATGCATTATATACTGAAAGGAAAAAGAAACGCAGGGTTAACTTTTTAGGTGAATTAAATTTAATTTTCTTTTAATTTTTTTCAGTATTCCTATCTTACTTTCAAAACCGAAATCACATTTGATTTTGTCCTATAATTCATGAGTTATTGAAGCCCAGGAGGTATTCAATGACACTATATAATAAATATTCTCTGCAACTTTGGTATAGGAGGTGATGCAGATGAGAAATGGGTACCCCCAATATTGTAGAAAGAATGACAGATTTCCTTTTGCTTTGGATAATCAATATCTGTCTGATCACAGGAGATGTCATATCTATCAATTTGCCGATGTTGAGACATAACTGCCCCTATGTCTTAGATGAATTATATCTAATCTACATTGACTACAACGATTTTGATAGTTTTAAACGTGATTGAATAAGTATGATGCTGTTTGAATAATTTCAATAGATTAGACATTTTAATTATAAGGGGTACTGCATTACAATCTATGATTTTTTAGACCCTATTACGGCAAAATTCGGTCTGGTTTTTGAGAGTATGTTCTTTGTGAAAGAGAATGGGCGGATCTCAGTACAGTAGGGGATATGCATGTCCGAGGAGTCTACTTTATATGGCAATTGTTATTATTTCGTACATGCATGTAGGCACTTACCAAAAAAAAAAAAATTGTCCAATTCGATGAAAGATTGACAAAACATTCTAGTTTACTACATATTTACACATGCATGGGTCTATTTTTATAACCCCCGCAAAGGAATTTTTTTTTGGGGGGGGGTATAGGAATCAGCTTGTCCATCTGTCTAGCTATCCATCAGTCTGTGCAAACATGTCCAGTCCATATCTTTCTTATGGAGGAACATAAGAATCTACTACTCCACACAAAGATTGCCCATGACCTAAGGGTGTGTCATGACCATGACCCAAAGTTATCTGTGCAAGTTTAAGGTCACTGAAAGAAAAATTGTATAATTTATGTTTGAGACATATCTTTATTATGGAAAAACTTACCTCTGAAAAAAACCAGCGGGTGTATTTTGTCCCGTTTGGACAGTTCTAGTTTGACATATTTTATGTTCCCCAACCGTATTTTTGAAATTGTTTTCCTCGAGTATTCCAGAGGACAAAATATTGGTTAATTTGAAAAGGAAATGAGGTTAATCAGTTCATTGTACTTACCAGATAGTCAAGTCAAACTTTTACTCAGCTTAACCTTATTTAAAAAAAAATTAGAAGCAAGCAACGTTATACACAACCATTCCCCACGATTAATCAAGTCCAGACTTATAGGCATCTGAAAAACATTCCTCCTATTTGATTTATCATGGGAAATGGTTGTGTATAACGTTGACAAGTAGTATGTTTTAAAGCTATTGATTTTGGTATTTCAAGATTTCAAAAAGCATTTACTGAAACTTTCTATGTATCTTTGTAAGATTTTTTATGAAGTTTTTGAATCCGATAAAGATATGTTTATTCAAAGTCATTTGGTTGCTTTGAATATAAGAAATATTCAACACTGACGTATGATTTTGAAAAAAAAAATCGTCCTTAAAAACTTAAGAGAACTATGAGTATAAGTTAAATGTATACTTGTAGAATTAAATCCAAGTTCTTTTAAAATAAAATTTATAAAATGCACCTTACAAACGAAGACAATGTTGTTACTTGCTTTGTCAGCAGGAACCAGTACGTACTGATGATGTAATATATCCATATGTTTCATCTTATTATTTTTTCACGTAAAGATTTTTTGGAAACAGAGGGATAAATGGTTTTTCATATTACCTCTCAATCTTTTATATGCGGTTGTAATATAGATCTGAACACTTAATCCATTCCCACAAAATGTTGTCTTCTTTTTTCATATCTGGCCCATCCAATGGCGCAATCTTCAATAAAACATAAAATATTTATGAAATTCCGACACCAGTTGAAGGATTGAAGTTCCATATATTTACAATCTTTTAAAATTGATGATTTAAGGTTCTCATTATTAACTATATTTACGTCACCTGTAATAACGTGTGTGGCAATGCAGTTTAAAAAAAGTATGCACTCTGAAATTTTTTTTCAAAGTGCATTAAAAGTGGGACAAAATCAACACACTGAAATTTTTTAATGAGCGCCAAGAGTGTACATTTTTACCATGTAGACTCCTAACGCACTTTGAATAAAAAAAATATGCATAATACAAAATTTCTAGAATTAGATTTTAGTAATTGAGAAAATCAATTTATAATTATTTCTTTCAAAAAACCTTTCTAATTTCTCGTACATGGTACTGATGCCTATGCTACACCCAAATACATGTATATGTATTTGCTTAATTGGTGTGAAGTTGAAAACTTTCAATAAATTTTAGTTTACATTAACTGCATGCAAACTGAAGAAAAATATAAGTACAATAAAACATTTAAGAGAGAGAGAATTTTCAGAGTATTGAAAAATCAAAACCGCTCACTTTCACATCCTGAAGTGATCTTATTATCGAAAAATTATCCAACATTTACCTTGTATCATACCTAAGATTTTCAAGAATATTTATGAAGCCATACACAATTTTTTTGTTCAATTTGCGTTGATATGGTTTATATCAACGCACTTTGAAAAGAAATTTTATTTTTTTCAAAGTGTGTTGATTTGGTCCCAAATTTAACGCACTTTGACATTTTTTTCAAAGTGCGTTGATTTGTCCCAAATTTAACGTACTTTGACATTTTTTTCAAAGTGCGTTGATTTGGTCCCATATTAAATGCACTTTGACATTTTTTTCCAACGTGCGTTGATTTGGTCCCCAATTTAACGCACTTTGACATTTTTTATTTAAAAGTACGTTGATTTGGTCCCAAATTTAACGCACTTTGACATTTTTTTCAAAGTGTGTTGTCCAGCAGCAGTCTAGTTATAAATAGGGCGAAGAAGAACATGAAACTATGGAGGATTATATTTCAGATATTCGATATCCAGGCCATGTAAAGTTTTCTTGTAATTTAAAAGCTTGAAAGCAAATGTTTATGTATATTTGTAGGAAATACAAGATGTAGTCTTCAACTAAATATTGTAGAATGCAAGACTGGACCCATTTTTGATTAAGAAAAAAAAATCAATGATTTTGTGATAAAAAATAATGATTTTCAGCGTGAATCTACACGATACAGTAAACATAAGTATTATGGCAAATTATCAAAAAAAGAATCTCATTGTACTTTTACAATTACAATTGATGCTAGTTAGGTTGTTCTCCCTCTCTATAAGTCTGTATACAATGTATATGTCTCAAGCAAATTGAAGTCTATGAAATATCTGCGAGATAATCTTTTCGTTCTATATATCTGTATACACAAAGTCTGCTGGTGTTGCTTGATCCCATCCAAACAAGATGATTTTCGTTGTCATAAGCCAAACCAAATGGTTCAGCCATCCGACCCTCTAGTTGTTCTGCTGTTATAGATGACAGGAAATCACCATCCTTGTTAATCATGTATATAGCTTTGTTCTTTTTACAACAGATCAGAATATTTAAGAATACATCTACACAGGTTCCGTATGGCGATCCAGATATGATTGGAGGCCCCGTGTAAGTGAAACGATATTTTCCTTTATGGTCTGTGACCACCACACCATTGAATTTATCAGACACAACGATATCCCCATTGTGGTTCTCTGTAATATACTTAGGTGTGTCGTATAATGGCTTTCCTGAAATGTTGTATTGGACGGTTTGGATTGGTTGTACTGTACTATTATACCGAATCATTTTTGCTTCTTGTATGGAATTATTATCTGATACATATCCCATCATGACAAGCAAATCTCCAGTAGAGGAAGAATGACACACACACAATGGCCGCCGCATTTCTATTCTCTTAATTAGAGTCGACTTTGTAGCATTGTTTGTACTTAGTTTGTTAATGTTCCAGTCTTTGTCCACATAAATCAACTCTCCTGCACTGGTTGCACAATGTACACCTAAATAATTATTCACAGCAACTAAACGATGTAGAATGTTACCTTTAGAATTAGTCAGAAAAAGACTGCGTCCATCATTGATCCATATCCTATCTGGTGTCACAAAAGAAATGTGAGAAATTTTGTGAATTAAGCCACCCACATCAACATACTTCTTTAACATGCCTTGTGGCATTAGCTTTAACATTTGTTCATTTCTTACTTTTCTCTTTCCTACCTCTGTGATTTTGATATCAACTAATAACTCTAAAATGTCCCCTGTTTCTATTTTTTCATTAACGTTACACATTATGGTATCAGGAAGGTCTATTGCCTTGGGGATGGGGGTCTTCTTTATGAACAGCAAAAATTTTACAGGTTTGTTTGCTAGTTGCTCGTATTTGTCCACATACTCCTTCATTTTGTGATGCTTCAATATAAAGCCAATATTAAAGTTTCTTTTATACAAAACATTTAGTGTCTTATTCTGTATATCGATTAGTTTTTTCAAGTTTTCAGCTTTAACAGTGGGTTGATTTTTGATGCTAGAACATTTTGCTTTTAAAGCTTTGGTGTCAGAATAGAGATCTGCGAGCATGGCACAATTGTATGGGAGGCTCTCACCTCTAATTTCAATAATTTTCCCCCTGTTTTTCTGTCTTTGGACCTTGTAGGATAATTTGATATCTATAAGCTTGTGTCTTCGGTGCTCATAATTTTTATCACAAATTGGACATTCACAAGATTTGCACCAGTTTTTATATTTGCAATTTCGATGTTTCTCACATGACTCAGGTATAATAAAGTCACCATGCTTTAATCGGTAAATAACGACATCATGATCTTTGGTGTTGATGTACACAACGTGTCTCTGCTTACACGTCATACACAGATTTTGTTTACATGGCCTGCAGTAAAATTCTACGTCATTCTGACACTGAGAGCACTGAATCACTTTAATCTGTGCTGTAGCGTCCGTTATCATGATGCTTCTTTTATTTAGTCTCTCTTTTCTTCTAAGTTCAAAATGTTGTTTCTACAATAAATCATTTTTATAGAATTACTTTTTTTTACATTTTGGTTTTTATAAGGAATTTAGAATGTATAGGTGAGGTACAAATTGACGACATACTGACAACTAAAAATGTATACGAAAAAAAAAACAGAAAAAAAAGAAATGTACATCGATAAATTAAGCACAGAACCCAAAGCAGATTGTTAATAGTTATAACCCGCTAAAAATGGATACAGGTAATGATATTTATGACAATTTACTTGAACTTGACTCTTTTATACGGACTTTTGGTGGTGGAAAAAAAAAACACGTTTTGATTTTTGACTTATTTATTCACGTGGTATCTCGGGCATTATTATTTGTGTCAATGGGAACGGGACATTTTTAAAGACTGGATTTGTTCACTTTTGGTATCATTTGAATCTGTAATTATGCTATGTTGCAACCACTATTGAAATAATTATTTCAATAGTGGTTGTGCTAAATGCAAAGGTTTGATGAAAATCGATGTCTTTAAGCTGTTCGAATGTTTTATTCTGGGATTGCCCAGAGAGTGAGTTGTTGCACACCAACTGGGTGTTCACAATGTAGAAGTTTCCAACATTTGGCAACACTGAGATTCGACCACGTACTAGACGTCCCTGTGTGACGTCCGTTTGCCAAGATGCCAAAATAACCATATCAGACTCATGAAACATATGAAGACAACAAACAGTATTCAAGATCTAAAATCCATAAAACAATACAAAGTAGGAGGAAAGCAAACACGGACCTCCGAAACATCAGTGTTGGGATCAGGTGCCAAGGAGAAGTGAGCATCCGCTGCCGACCATGATCGGGAAATATCGGAAAAATCTGTCGTCAATTTAGTGTATAAATAATCGACTAACATAAGCATAAAAACGTCAGTCAGCATTTGACGCAATGATAAATTGTAAATCTGCAAAATCGTTTTCAGACAGCGAGTTTGACTGCTCGTTGCATCCCTTGTCTAAGATGGTACCTAATCCCACCTTTGTTGCTTTATTTGGAGGTCCGTTTTGCTCTGCTCCTATTTTGTATTGTTTAATAAGCTTTTGATCTTGAAAATTGTTTCTTATCTCCATGTTTCCTAATTACGTGTAAATGATGTACGCATTCGATTGCATGAGCACAACTTCAGACCTAATGTACGTATTGTGTCCCGTTATTAGAAGACGTACTTTTATATTCATATGAAGAAGAATTTGTTCAAGAGATATATCATAACAAAAATTGCACTAAAAATAAGAAAATAACATTTGCGATGGATTTGTACTGGTCAGCTCAGCGTAATTAACTTTAAGCAGTTAAAGAGGTAAACAAATAAAAGTTGAACTTTAACCTGGCCAGTTCCAAGAAATGAATCGTTTATTAGGAAAGGCATTTGGTTAGGAGGAAGGAGCGACCAATAACATTTGAGCGACCAGAGGTCAGTTATTTAAATAAATTAAATACATTAAGTGAAATTAGAAGATTTTGCAAGAGACAAAAAGTAATTTTTAAAATGCATTAGTCAAGTAAGAGTGTTGTAGGATAAAGAAATAATTGTTAAAAATTCAAATTTGAAAATAAAGTAATTCTTGGAAATTTTGACTGCAATCCAAATATGGAGATGGAAATCTATAAACGTAAACCTAGTATGAAATGAACGGCCGGGATAGACAAGATTTCAGTGGAAAGCTGAATCTTGACTGTCTTGGTTGTATTTCATACAGGTGAGATAATTTTCTAAACTTGCGCGGTTTTTGTTAAATTATTAAAATTTTCACATGGCTTAATTTATTCACAGGTTACATTTATTTGAATACTAGAACTAATAATGTTTAGCATAATGTTAAGTATATATTGTAAGAAATTAATTATTGTAATCATAAAGATTACAAATAGATTGCTTAATTTAATAAAGAGTGGAAAGCTGAATCTTGACTGCCTTGGTTGTATTTCATACAGGTTGGGTAAAACACCTCCACTCCCCAACCATGTCAGGCGCTCAGATCTGTCAGATCTAAAGGGAAATTGAAATGAAGCCACAAGAAAAATATATAACGAGAAAAATTGCAAAATTGAGCCATCCCGGTACCTTTACAAGCCAAGCGCGAATTCGAAACGAAGAGTGAAAAATAAACACGAGACCCAATGAATAACGTTAACCTGATTACGTAAATCGAACGTCGAACTGTTTAATAATTTGATATGAAATATAACACGTGAAAAAAACGAAACACCTGCTCTTTATATCGACATTATTTATTTCCATTCTTCTATGGATATAATAAATCCCGATAAGATAAAGATACCACAGAGTCTGACACAGCTGTTTCATATTTGGATATTGTACTTGAAAAAGACATTAAGATGATAATCTAATAACCAAACTCTCTGATAAATTTACAAGATTCAATTTAACTTTCAATCGTCCGTTTCCTTACTTATGCAGCAATATACTTTCATGCCTGCATACGGATTTTATATATCTCAGTTGCATTGATACCCTAGAACATGTTCGACGTATGTACATGTACGAATTCTAAAACGAGGTAAATTATTGCTGATGAAACAAGAATATCAGCAGTCTAGTTCAAAGTCATCATTTCGTAGGTTCTTTTGTCGATTCAATGACAAGGAACACACGGCATGTGTGACCGGTCAACAGGGGATGTTCACTCCATCAAGGCACCTGATCCCACCTTCTATGTTTTGGAGTTCTGGATTTCCTCTGTTCTTATTTTATATTGGACTTCTGAGCTTGAATACTGTTTATTATATCCTTTTATTTTACCAACATATTCTACCATATGTACTGCACTGCTCTAATCCCTCGTTCACACATAGACGCCGCTTCTACTACGATCAAAGCGTGGCCAAAAGCGTGGCCGATCGTGACAAATCGCAGGAGAAACGTCGAGGGGTCGTCATAAGCGTAGTATGATCGCAGTAGAATCTTCATGATCGGAGAGCTCTACGCTCTCACCACGCTGATTTTGAATATGTTCAAAACAAGCTTAGCGGCATCGTGGCCAACAAGAATCGGGATTGAGTCGTAATAAGAGCGGAGTAGAAGCGCCGTAATCGTGCAAGCAGCGCAGAAGCATCGTAGAGAGATCTTCATGATCATAGTAAAAGCGCCGTAAGAGCGTAGGAACTTACCAAGCACGCTCATATAACGCTCCCTGTACGTTCGTACTACCTTCTCACTACGATCTCTCTACGTTCCTCGAGATCCTACGAAAACCTACAATGACCTTACGCCGATCATATCACGACCTATCAGAAAAAAAAGTTTGTTCTTAAAGCGCTGATATTTGATCAATCATCATCTGTTTACTACATGTAAAGGGTGACACTAAACTTGATGATCATTTACAATTGAGCATTTTTACATCTTTTTACAGTTAGAATTGAAAATGTCCTTAAACCATGTGGTAAAGGCCGCAAAAATAAACAGCGAACGCAAGATATGTATCATCGCTAAAATCGTACTACAAAAATCTGCGGTTGCAAGATATATTTACATCGCTTAATCGTACTAGAAGCGTAATGCAATCGTAATATGATCGGGTACACCGTGGCGACATCGCGGTACAGTCATCAAGGTCTGCGAAGCGTCGTAGTATAGTCTTCAATGTCGTAGTGGCAGCGTAGCGTAAACGCAGTGAACACGGCTGTGTGTCGGCATTGGTCTGCGTAACATCGTAGTAGAAGCGTGTTAGCAACGCGTTTAACGTAGGGACATCATAGTACGGTCGTAACGAAGACCATAATTTGCCAAATTGCTCTTTTTTGACGCCGATCGGTTGCGATCTGCCCCGATCCAAAAACTTTTCAGATCGTGGCTTGATCGGGATGATCGCCGTAGAGTCGCAGCTCTGTATGAACGGGGGGGGGGTAACTAACGTCACAGAGCTGCACGATTCACACAAAGGCTTAATTACGACTAACTGAAAAACTTTGGGAATTCGGCCTTTATCATGAAGTTAATTTGTTTGATGTTCTTTTTTAAAACTTGACCATTGGCCATAACTTTTGAATGGTTATTTTCAATTTTTCTATTTCCAGAAGGTGACGGACGTTCCCTTAAATGGACTGGGACAGAGTAAAAGATTATATTTTCTACAGTTTTCTAAATTGTATTATGACATATATATGTTGCCAGAGCAATTTTAACTGAAAATAGTTAAATATTATTCCAAACGAAAGTATTTAGGCTAATACTATACCTATGACAATATTTCTCCAACTAATATCTATACCTATGATTTCAGAGACTTTGTTCCATATTGATCTTACTTGAGTGCAATCAAAAATCAAATGCTTAAAGTTCTCTTCACTGCGACATACTGGACAGTATTTATCGTTTTTTTAAAATTTCATTTTAAAACTAATATAGAGATTTTTCGGTAACAAGTTGCGAGTTGCGTTTGAATGACACATACCCCTGTACTTTCACAATGTAAACTAAATCCATATTACTTAAAACAAGTAGAAATGTTACTTTGTATAGATAAGAATACAAAAAAATATACTCCAGAAAGATCAGAGTAGAAATGCTACAATGCAGAATCAACTCACCATTATGTCAGTCCTAACTAAGCGATGTGTGCAGACTAAACAAAATGAATAACAACAGAACTCGTAGATGTTTGGTGTGATTGTATGAAGAGTGTCGTTGTCATTGGAGTTTTAGAAAATGCATGTAAGTTCAAACCATTGAACTAAAGTTATGCTTGAATAAAAAAAAAACATTTAAAATTGTGAATGATGCATTTGTGTCCAAGTCCCTTTAACGCTGAAAGTAAATAGACATACGTCATATTAAATTCCTATCTATTATATCAATGGGATATTCATAATTTAAATATTCTAATGTATTTGTATGGAACAAGCTGTCAATAATGTTAGAACTTTTAGTTTAGTGGATTTTTTCAAATCTTTGTACCTCACTGAGTATTTTAACAGATTCAATACTTAAACTGGATCCCCCTGTCCTTGAGCGTGTCAATCTATTAGTGTAGTGTTAAAATATGATTCTTCATCCTTTTATATGTATTTCGTGCGATTGTACTTTTATATTTTGTGTTTATATTAGGATTCATCCTTAAACCAGATCCCCCCCCCGATCCTTGAGTGTTCCTTATGAGTGAAGTGTTATTAACATGATTCTTCATGCCTTTATATCTATTTCGTGTGATTGTATTTTAATATGTTGTGTTTATATTAAGTATATTAGTTTATACTAATTTTATATGTCCATATGTGAATGTATTATGTTTTAATACAAGACAACCGAGTAATAAAATCTTGCTTTATGGTTATTGTGTTATCATAAATAAATAAAGGTTATTATTATAATTCAATTTGTTCGTCATTCAATTTCAAAAGCAATTAATCTAATTATTGTATCTGTATACACATAATTCACATACGTACGTTCCATCTCATAAAAGATTATTTATGTGACCATATGCCATACTCCATGACATCATGTCTGCACCCAGTCATATAAGAAAAATTCCGTCTTTGTCAATAATGTGCACGTTGACAGAGTTGCTATCAAACACCAGGATGTTTAATAGGGCGTCTGTACAAATCCTGCATAGAAAAATTGTTAATCTCTCGAATGGAGTTCCATGTAAGAGAACCAAAAGACCCCCCGACCGTCTGTTACAACAAGGTTTATCTTCACAACGTAAGGGTTTGTATCTGACAAAATTATATCTCCATTTCTATTCTCTGTTTTTTTTTTTTGCAGGACAATTAAAAATTTTGTTTTTACTCATTCTGTATAAGACAGTTTGGGTTTCTTCTCCTTTGCTGGTGTATCGGTTTACTCTGGCTTCCGAGGGAAAGTGCTTAGTGATATCATATTTACCTACCAGTGATCTCCATTGAACGGGGAGCTGTAGACACATTGTGGTCTCCATGGATCTGATTTCTTCATAAGTGTTGACTCTGTTGTGGTGTCTTAATTGTGATAGTTTGCAGATGTTAACACGTTGATTAATGTAAATGAGTTTCTTTTCTCTGGTCACTGACCGTTCACGGTAGCTCAGTCGGTAGAGCGCTCGCTCCGTGATCGGGAGGCCGTGAGTTCGTATCTCGGCCGCGACTGACCTAGTCGTTAAAATGGGTAGCAACTGTTCCTTCGCCATGCGCTCGGCACTTTGAAGTGAAAGTTGCGGGTCCTTCGGATGAGACCTTTAAAACCGAGGCCCGTGTCAGCGGCAGGCGTTGGCACGATAAATATCCCTCACTGCTCAATGGCGCTGAGTGCCGAGTAAAGGTCAAAATTTGAAGCCATTCACCGGCATACTGTGACGTCTCCATATGAGTGAAAAATTCTCGAGAGGGACCTTAAACAATATACAATCAATCAATCTCTGGTCACTGTATGTACACCAGTACCAATATTTATGTAAATGAGTTCATTTTCTCTGGTCACTGTGTTTCGAAAAAATTCGGAATCACAGGAGTGGATCAAAAAACTATGTATATAAAATTCCCACCCTTTTTTGATGGCAGGCATATCAGTGCCTGCTTTTTGCTATATTCAATTTTAGGGGGTCAGATTGCATAATATGATACCAGAGATTTTTGTGTTCTTTCTAATCTTGTCTGACCCCTTTAATATGTTTTATTTTTGTTTTTGCGTAATTTACTTCAATAAATGACAATTTTTCACTTTCACTACTGTTGCTATTTTCTTTTAATCCATTAGAAAACTAGCTCAGTTGACTTTGCTTCGGTCTTACATTAATAACAAAGGAACATAAAAAGGAATTATAATTCTAAAATCAATGAAGCATATAAATGGTTTAATAAGATATTAGATGTGATTGCCAGTACAAGTAACACACTGCAAATGTTTTGATCAGTATTTAATTAGAATGTAAAAATGTAGAACTTTTATTCCAATTCAATAATTATTAAAATTTTATGGATGATGTACGGTTTATTAATTTACAACGTACAGGGAAAATTTGATATGAATATCTATAAATTTCGATAAAAATGAAACCACAACATAAGGGGAAAAATACATATATTGTATTGCATATATCTGACAAAAAACAAATCCAATTGCAATAATAATTCTATAGATTATGTCTGAAGTATTATACAGCATACAAGGAAAAATATAATATGAATATCTATAAATGTCTGAAAAAAATGAATACAGAAAATAATGAAATAATACATACATTATATTGCTTAAAATCTAAAAAAATTCATATCCAATTGCAAGTATTTCCACTATTTTCTCAAATCATATTAATAATAATAAATATTCTCTATACTATGTCAGATCCTGTTCTTAAATCTTTTTTTTAATAGTAATTCTTTCTGTTAATGTATCTATATAAAAATATTTCAGCCATAATTGATTCAACCAATAAAATATGGTTTTTGTCATCATAGGCAAGACTCCATGGTGTCAAGATGTTTGGGAAAATCAAGAGATACCTCAGAAAATGTCCATCATTGTCAATCAATTGAACGGTGCCTTAGTTGTGATCACAGACCACAATGTTTGATAGTCCGTCTGAGCAAATCCCACATGGAAAAAATGATTGGCTCTCGAATGGAGGTCCGTTGTAGGAGAACCGAAAGATTCCCTGACGGTCCGTTACGACAATACCACTATCTTCTTTACTTGAAATTCTTTTATCTGACACAATAACATCTCCGTTACTGTTCTCTGTTATATATGCAGGGCAATTATAAATGTTCTTTTTACGCCTTTTGTATTGGATAGTTTGTATTTGTAACATTTTGCTATCGTATCGGTTTACTCTGGCCTCCGATGGAAAGTGTCAGTTTCCTTTGGATTCTGTTTGATAGTCTTTCTCATATTTCCCGGACCAACCAATAGATCTCCATTTAAAGTGGAGATGTAGACACAGGGTGGCATCCATTGATCAGATTTCAATATAATTGTTGATTCGGTTGTGTTGTCTTTTGATAATTTGCAGATGTTCTCATTTTCATTAATGTAAATCAGTTCTTTTTCGTTGGTCACTGTATGTACACACGTTCCAATATCTGTAACTGCCAGCTGATCCAGAGTGTCACCAGTTGTATCTATCAAGATTAAGCTATTTTTATCACTTATCCAGATTGTGTTTGGTAATCCAAGGGAAATATGACGAATCCAATCGTCATCTTTATCGATCTCTAACATGTCTGTCACAATTATAGATTCGTGAAACATATCAATTTCGAGCATAATTTCCAGGAGAAAGTCATTTCTTACATGCCTTTTCCCTATCTCTTTCTGTTGGATATTTCCTATTAAACAACTCAAATCCTCATGAATTCCATTCAGTTTAGGAACTTGAAACCTCTTAACCCATGAAAGGAATACTACTGGTCTGTTTGATAACTGTTCAAATCTATGTTCATATTTCATTATATCTTTTAAATGTCGCTTTCGCTGCTGATAAATTAATGAGATTATTTGAGAATTTAATTTAGTACATTCCTTTCGCATTTTTTTATCGATAAAATTCTTTAGTCTCTGAGCTTTTCTTTTCATTTTTACCATGATTTCGAATGATTCCGCTCGATGTTTTTCTGTTTTCTGGTCAGATTTTATATCCGCAAAGATAGCCATACTATAAGGAAGTATCTCTCCTCGGAGGTGAAAAATACTGATATTGCTCTCTTTTCTGCACACCAAGCAACATGGTTCTATATCGTGTGTTTCATGTTCTTGGTGTTCATTACACTTGACACAAAGTGGATTTTCACAAGACAGACACCAACGGACATATTTTCTGTCTTTGTGTTTTTACACGCCTCTGATACCATAACTCCATTCTTTAACTGACGTATTACGACATCTTTTTATGACTTTTATCATAGAGAGTTTGGAGAAATTCTGAGACTATGCGTGCCACAGCTCCAATATAAAATTTCAAATCATTACAGGGAGTGGCTCTTAAACACTTGCTAATTGAATTTTATGCAAGATAATCTCGTCGTTGTATATGTCTGAATACACAGAGTCTGTTTTTCTGGCCTGATCCCATCCAAACAAGATGATTTTTTTCGTCATATCCCAGACCCAATGGCTCAATAATCCCATATTCCTTTGTTGATATAATGGACAGGAGATTACCGTCCTTGTTGATCACGTATATTGCGAAATCAAATCGGCCACAGATTAGAATATTTAAGAGTGCATCTACACAGATTCCACTTGGCATAAAGAATCCAGATGGCATTTCATTAGGTGGTTCATTGTAAGTGAAACGATATTTTCCTTTATAGTCTGTGACCACCACACCCTCCCTTCTATCAGACACAATAATATCTCCATTGTGGTTTTCCGTGATATAGAATGGTTCACGATATAGTTGCTGGCCTGAGCTGTCATAGTGGATGGTTTGTACTGGTTGCACTTTGCTATTATACCGAATGAATTTCACCTCTGAATTAATGGTAGGATTATCTGAATCATATCTCATCATGACCAGCAAATCACCAGAGAAGGACGAATGACAGATACACCATGGTCCCATAGTTCATTTCTCTGAATCAACGTCGATTTTGTAGCATTATTTGCGCTAAGTTTGTTAATGTTCCAGTGTGTATCTACATAAATTAGTTCTCCTGCATTGTTAACCGTATGTACTCCATAGTTTTTATTAACATCTGACAATTTATGTAGAACAGTACCTTTAAAATTCGTCAAAATAAGACTGCTTTCATCACTGACCCAAATTTTAGTTGGTGTCACAACAGAAATGTGGGCACATTGAATTAAGTCAGTCACAGCAACATACTTCTTTAACATAATTTTTTGCATCCACTTTATCATTCGTTTATTATTTCTTACTTTTCTTTTTCCTGCCTCTGTTATTTTGATTTCAACTAAAAGGTCAGTTATGTGTCCTATATTTATTTCTTCATAAAAGCTAAATATTATGTTATCTGGAGGGTCTATTGTCTTGGGGACGGAGGTTTTCTTTACGAAAAACAGAAACTTTATTGGCTTGGTTGCTAGTTGCTCGTATCTGTGCACATATTTCTCCATTTTTTTTATACTTCAATACAAAGCTCATATAGAAGTCTCTTTTATATAAACCATTAAGTGTCTTACTATGTATATCAATTAGTTTTTTCAGGTTTTCAGCTTTAACCACAAGCTCTTGTTTGATGCCGGAGAGTTTTGCTTTTAATTAAGGTTCCTACATCTCTTTTGAAGTCATATTTGAGACCTGCTAAGATTATATTGCACGATTATTTGGAAGACTATCGCCTCTTATCTCAATAATTTCTTCCCTGTGTTCCTGTCTTAGAACCGTGCAGGCTAATTTGATATCCAGAATTTCATGTCTTTGGTGGTTTTCATTTTTATCACAAAATGCACATTCACAAGATTTGCACCAGTTTTTATATTTGCAGTCTGGGTGCTTCTCACATGACTCTGGCGTTATAAAGTCTCCATGCTTTAAACGGTAAATAACGACATCATGGTCTTTGCTATCGAGGTACACAACGTGTTTCTGCTTACACGTCATACACAGATTTCGCTTACATGGCCTGCAGTAAAATTTGACGTCATTCTGACACTTAGTGCACTGAATCACTTTAATCTGTGCTGTTGCGTGCGTATTCATGATGCTACTTTTATGTGGTCTCTCTTTTCTTCTAGGTTCAAAATAAAATTTTAGGATACCATCTACAATAAAAACATTTTTTTTACAATTACTTTTTTTTTTAATTTTAATTTTTCTAAGGAAATATGCACTTAAATCATATATATGTGAGTACAAGCAGATGACATGCCGACAACTAAAAATATATTTACTAACGGAAAAAAAGAAAATGTGCATCGGTAAAGAATCTGAGAGGATTAGGCGAGACATATGCCCACACGGATTTTGTCGTTCTGTAAGCATATCGAAAATTTTATAGTTGTACGATTTACCTATTAAACATTTAACTTTTTACAGCACTGTCCAAATGATAAAATCTATATTACAAGAAACATTTAATAAGAAATTAATTAACAGCTAATATCGACCTTTCAGAGCCGAAACCATTGTTTAAAAAGGATGACTCAAATGGTCTATAAAATAAAAAAAGTCAGTGTGCCGTTCCACCTTAATTGTTCTCAACTTTGTTTTCGAACTGCAGACGGAGTGTATATACCTCAGTTGATTCGAAACATTCGAGAGCATGCTCTACGTATGAAATATTTCTAAAACGATGTAAAGTATTATCAAGAAAGTTGATAAATAAAGAATATCAACACTCTCTTTTCAGGGACTTGCATATGGTACGCTTTATCTTTCCTTTTAACTCACCATTCACAGTAGCTCAGTCGATAGAGCGCTCGCTCCGTGATCGGGAGGTCGTGAGTTCGTATCTCGGCCGCGATGACCTAGTCGATAAAATGTCTAGCAACTGTTCCTTCGTCATGCTCTCAGCACTTTGAAGTAAAAGTTGCGGGTACTTTGGATGATACCTTAAAAACCAATGCCCCTTGTCAGCGGCAGGCTTTGGCATGATAAAATCCCTTACTTCTCAATGGCCCTGAGTGCCGAGTAAAGATCCAAATTTGAAGCCCTTCGCCGTCATACTGTGACGTCTCCATATGAGTGAAAAATTCTCGAGAGGGACGTTAAACAATATACAATTAATCAATCAATCAATCCTTTTAACTGTTTTTGCAAACAAAACATCCATATCGTGCTTGTCTACCCATGATTATTTACATTTCAATCGTGTTATGTAGTCTTGAAGTGAATGCATTCAAAATGTTATATATTTTGAAAACTTGTTTATTGTAGGAAATATATTTATTTATTAACCGTAAATAAATTCATTATCTTATTTATTCATTTTGTTTTTAGTGAAAAAAAATATTTATTTAAAGTTGAACCATAAACTCGTATGCAGGTAATGAAAGTGTATTGTTGCATAAGTAAGTAAAGCGAAATAAGTAACGTCGAGTTAAAGACACAGCAAGTGTTTCGGTTTTTCACATGTAAGATTTTGGACAAATTCTGCTTCATATGAATATAAAAGTAGGTCTGCCAATAACTGGACACAATAGTACATTAAGTCTGAAGTTGTGCCCATGGAATCGATTACGTACATTTTTTACACTCATACAGGAAACATATTGAGATAACAAACAGTATTCAAGATCAAAAGTCCATAAAACAATACAAAATAGATATATAAATATAAATAAAATAATTACAAGTTTAATTCGGAAGATCCCATAATGTGAAAATTGGATGTGATGCTTTGAGGTGGTTTGATCACAAGATAGAATTTCCTGAGAGCATTTTTCAAGAATTGGCATGGTTTCACTTGTAATATTATTTTTCACAATTCTACATTTCATTTTATATTTAAATATTTTATAAGCAATAAATGATAAGAAATTATTCCAAACAAAAGTATTTTGGTAAATACCATACCTACAACAATATTTCTCCAACTAATATCTATAACTATGATTTCAGAGACTTTGTTCCATATTGATTTTTACTTGAATGCGATCAAACATCAGATGCTTAAAATTCTTTTAACTGCGACATACTCGAGAGTATCTATCAATTTCTTTATTCCACTAATTATGATAGAAATTTTTCGTTTGCGAGTTGGGTTTGAATGACACATATTCCTCTACTTTCACAATGTAAACTTAATCCAAATTACTTAAGGATATACGATCCTCAGCCAGGAAGGATAATGAAACGGAAATGGTTGTTCGTTTAGTTTCGTATTAACGTTAGACCTACGTTATCTTTCAAATTCTTAAACACTAAAAAATATTAATGTTACGATCATACAAGTAGTATGAGACTGCCATTGTACGCGGACTGCACTGGAATAATACACATAGTGTTAGAGTGTGTTTGAGACCTCTCAGGTGACGGAATAGACAAACCTTTACTCGTTTATTTCCTAACATACTATTGTAAGACCCGAACAAGGCAGATAGTTGCGGGGAATAGACAGTGAAGAGTTTAGTGTTAACCAGAAGGCATAAGACCTGGATAAGGCAGTCATTTGTTTATATAGAGAGAGGTGGCATACCACAAATAAAGGTGGGGGAAGTGCCAGGATACAGTGCTTGTGGAGTGGCAGGACAAGAAGAAATTTGTGCACGGGAGACACCCGTTGACCACAGTTAGTGGTTGTCCAATCAAGAAGAAACTGTTTATATTGTATTTGTATATTTTGATTTGGTCAACAAAAACCTGAGTTAACAGGTTAACGAACCTAAGTGTAACACCTGGTGATACAAGACAAATCCACAAACACCGTAAGCTCGGCCGCGTTGCACGTTACAATAACTCCAAAAAATAAAATTTAATTTGAAATGCATTAAAATGAAGCTTGAAAATTATTTTTTTTTCATGCAACAATTTTTATTTTATTCATCTCTGTAAGATGCAAGGTCTTTGGAAGTCTTAGAAAAGGTCTTTTAAGATTTGACATTTGTACCCTATAAAAGGAGAAAAAAAATAATACAGTTTTAGAGAAATAAGATTTTCTTGAATCCAGCCTTAGATACCATTGATAATTAGCATGATATGAAATGAGAAGTAATTTGTGATGTCTTGCAATGATTGCAAAGCCTTTTAAACTATGTATCATAAAATACATGACGGAAATAGAAGACAAAAAATACCAAATTAGTATGAAAATCATGACAATTTCTCTGAATGCCTGGATACCTATCATTTTTCAATCTAAAATATATTTGCTGATCAATTTGCAATTAGAAAATGCATTGCTGATATTCCAATTTGCTTTTTCTGTAAAAATATTGGAGATTTGACTATTTTCCCTATATAATATGATTAACTTTCATCTATAACTATGGTCGATACAATGACCTTGTCAGCAAATACAATTTATCATTGAGTCATATGCTGACTAACGTTTTTCATACCAATTGTTAGTCCATTATTTATACACTGAATTGACGACGGATTTTTTCCGTTATTTCCTGATCATGACAACGAGCACACGGCGGGTGTGACCGGTCGTCAGGGGATGCTCACTCCTCCATGGCACCGGATCCCACCTCTAATGTTTCAGAGGTCCGTGTTTGCTCTGCTCTTATTTTGTATATTGTTGAGTGGACGTTGAGATTGAATACTATTCGTTATCTCCATATCCTTCTTTTAAGAAATATTGTGGATAAATTTTCTTAACATTGTGGATTCAGAGATACTTTTATGAGTATTTTTCATTACTTAACTGCTAATTTTATATACCTGAGGATCGGACTACCTGAAGACAAGTAGAAATGTTATTGTGCATGAATGAAAAATATGAAAACTATAGTTCAGAAGGTTCAGTATAGAAATGCTATAAAGCAGAATCAACTCACCAATATGTCAGTCCTAACTGAGTGATGTGTGCAGACTAAACAAAGTGAATAACAGCAGAGCTCGTAGGTGTTTGGTGTGTCGTTGTCATTGGAGTTTAAGAAAATAAATGCATGAAGGATATGGAAATAACAAACAGTATTCAATGTTATGTTATT